GGTACTTGAGGCTGTGGCCTTGTGAGTCCCTTCTGTTCTCCAGGTCTGTTTTCCCAGCTGCGTCATGGGGTTGGGCCACATGGTCTGTAAAGGCTTGCCTGTCTGTGGGGTCACACAGGCCTGTGATTGAGGCCAGCTCACCCTATCACTTGCCCTGAGACCTTGGGCAGGCCATGCCCATCACTAGGCCTCAGTTTCTGTACCTACAAAATGGGTAAAAGCACTTACAGAGGGCCTTTATGAGGACCGACGGACACAGAATGTGTGCAAACCATTTCACCAGCAGCAGATACAAGAATTATCCTCCCACCCTCCTAAGAACGGAATGGCACCTGCAGGCTCTAAGGCCAGCACCCAGTGGCTACCCCTTGTTCTCTAGTGTCACCATCAAGACTTTATTTGGCACAGGCCACCTCTGGGCCAGGCCCAGTCCAAGAGGACTTAAGAGGGACTCTGAGAATTGACTGTCCACAGGGAGTAACCGTTTCTGCTGCACGCGCTGAGACTATTTATTAGGTTTATGCGCTGCTATCTGCCTCCAGGCCCCTGAGGAGCCCCACCTTGCCACCCAGAGCTCCCACCACTCACTTGCCATGGGGCCGGCCCCTGCACCACTCGCCCTCGTAGGTGGCCTGGCAGAGCCGGCCCTCCGCGCGGAAGGTATATGCTGCACAGCGGTGGGCAGGAGGCTCGGGGGGCTCCAGGCCAGCCCCCAGCACAGGGAAGTCCTTCTTCCCTCGCAGGGCCTGGCGAACGGCCTGGGTCACCTTCCACTGCCAGACGGCCTGGTAGAAGGGGAACCCGGGGAAGTGGGTCACTGCTGCTGGAGGCTTTCCCTCCAAAAAGCCTTCTGGCACAGCTCTAGGTCCCACCCCTCCACGTGCCACCCCCTACTCCGTTCTGTCACCTGGGGGACCCTTCAACTGCTCCTTGCTGCTCTCTGAGGCCCTCCACCCAACCTGAGATCCTCCTCCACAGTTTCAGGGCCTGCTCAGAGTTGGTCAAACAAGACCCCAGGGCAGGGATCAACACAGGACCCAATTCTGTCTTTGCAAAGAAAAGCACCCTGTTCTTTTTGGCATTCTAATGCCCGACCCGGATTTACTCTGACCCGGACCCCAGAGGCCTGCCAGCCGCTCGCCGCCGCTCCTGTGGGGCCCTGCAGGGTTGCATACTTCTGCCCTCTTCCTACCCGGTCCTGGGACCGTACTCCCGAAATTCGCAGCTCACCCACACGCACCTGGCCCTGGGAGTCCTTGGCACAGAAGGAGAACTCTTCTTCCGGCGTGAGGAGGTGAAATGTGCGCCTAGACAGACGGAGGTGATGAGTAGGCCCCAGTTCTGTCCAGGAGGATGGAGGGGCCCAAGCCAGAGCCCCGGGTGTGGGCACGTTATCATGGGGTAAAGGGAAGGCCTGGGGCATCAGCCGAGGGCGTTGCTCACCCGTCCTGCCCAGGATCCACCCACACCAGCCTCAGATCAAAGCTGTGGACGTTGTGGCCCTAGAAGAGGACGGACACAGGCGTCATCAGAGCCCAGGCCAGGTGCTCACCCACTCTCTCGCCCAGGCTTGCCCCAAGCTCAACCCCGCGTGGCTACCGAGGCTGCTCTGCCCAGCTCATCCAGCACCGAGCCCCTCTCCCCTCTGGCCTGCCCCCGCCTGGGGGCAGCTCCTCCATGTCCTTTCCAGCCCTGGGCCTGGCCAGGAACTCGACCAGCCTCCAGCGCCCTGTGGCCAGGAGAGTGGTCTGGAAATGAAGCTGGGACGCAGTCAGCCTCTGCTGGAAACCTCTATGTCTCCTGCTGCCTGGGGGCTGAGACACTGCTGGGCCTAACATTCACAGCCTCACAGCCCACTCCGGGCTCCTGTGTTCCCAGCTCTCACCGCTCCACAATCGCACCTTCCTGAGCTTGCCCCAACCTCTGCTCACTGTGAACCTTTGCTCATGCTGTTCTTTCTACCTGGAATGCCTTCCTGCTCTGAGGGCCAGAAAAAAAGCCCCTTCCTCTGGAAAATTTTGTGTAGCAACTTCCTGCCCGGCCCAGGCATGCTGATCACTGCTCCATACCAGGAGGCGGAGGTGAGAGCCCAGGCCTGAGGGGTGAGAAGGAGCTTGCCAACCACAGGCCATGGACGAGAAACAGCCCAGGAGACACAACAGCATGTGCAAAGATCCAGCAGCAGGAAAGGGCTAGCACAGGGAAGGGACAGTGGCTCATCAGTGTCCCTGGAACAGAGCGTGAGGTCGGGAGTGGAGGGGAACTCAAACTAAATCAGAACCAACCCCAAAATCAGGCTTCAGGGCACATCGGTGTAGGCTGGGCAGCAGCATACCTCAGGCCCCATCCACCCTGTCTGCAAGGGGGTTCCAGGCCAACCTTCTAAGGGGCAGAGAAGACAGTGCAGCTGACCTCGCCAGGGCAACATGATTCCAGGGAGACAAACCACAGCTGGTGACTGGCCAAGCAACAATTCCCAATCCCAGGCCTGGCTCTCTCCGACTTCCACAATGCTGAGAGCCCAGGCACTGCTCCTGTGGGGCACTTTTCTCTAGAGGCCTTCTCATCCAGCCCTCCTCAGTCACTCATGACTTCCTGTCTGGGGTTCCTCTCTCATTTGAGTACAAAGGGAACTAAGAGTTGTCAGGTGTCTGCTATAGAACACATTTACTCACAATGACCCCCACTTTCCAGATGGGAAAACTAAGGTGAAGACATTTAACCAAGGACACCAGCTGGGAGGGGCTGAAGCGGGGACCAATCTTGGACAGCCTTTCCCCTCAACCCATGCTCCTCTGGGGACAGCTCCAGCTGACCACCTCTCCCCAGCACTCTGCCTTTCTGTCCGTGACCATCCCTCCAAGCCCACGTGCTCAGTCCCAGCACCGTGTCCCTTTCCTGCTCCTCTTCCAACCAGAACCCAAAACCCTACTGTGGCCCCAGACCCCGGGTCAGCCCCACCCCAACCTGCAGCAAAACGAGGACATCATCGAAAAGCAGCACACGCTCAGCCCGCAGGGGTGAAACTGTCACGGGCACGTCGTGGCTGTCCTGCAGGAGTCTGTGAGCAGGGGTGCAGAGGACATCCTGGTGGGGCAAAGAGGACAGTACAAGGCTTAGGAACCTCTGTCCTGCAAGCTGCCAGCCACCCTGCCACCTCCCTCTGTACCCCAGACACCTCCCAGGGGCCTCCTCCAGTGGACCAGGTGTGCACCCTGAATCAGTGATGGACAGAAATGCACAGGTGATTCATCTCTGGCCTCTCCCAGCAGGGCAGCAAGTCTCTCTCTCAAAGCTTCAGTGTCCTCTCCCACACCTGTGACCCGGCCCAGCCATGCCCTGTCAGTCCTCTCCTGGGACTCAGCAACCCCGCCTCCCTTCTGCAGTCCTCTGCACTCCTAATTCTCCACACCAGGTCCAAGCCTGTCACGCCCTCAGGGCACACGGGACTCTCCTCCCTGCAGAGACAGTCCACACCATGGCAGGCAGTAACGAATGGTGTGATCGGTGACATCCTCAGGAGGGGGGTGGGTTTTGCTGACTGCCTCTTCTCTAGGCCAGGTCAGGGCCTGGCCCAGGACATGCTCAGCAGACGGATAAGAACAGCTGGACAGAGGGACCTGACAGACACCTAGTTCAGCACCACTTCCGCTTCCATATGGGAAAACTGAGGCCCGGAGAATACAGCCAGCAGCTCAAGCACCCCAACAGCTCCATGCCCAATGTGGAGCCCCTCCCTCACTGCCCCTCGGGCCCCCAGCTCACCCTTGGCCGGCCTCTCAGGGTGTGCCAGAGAGCCTGCATGGCCGCAGCCTGGTCCAATGCCTGCTTCATGAAGGATTGCAGGTTCCCAAAGACGGTGATTGCGTTCACCACCAGCGCCCAGGATGGGTGATGCTGAAGAGGGACAGGGCAGCTAGTGAGCAGGGAGCTTGCTGGAATCTTCCCCCACCTGGCGATAGCTCCATAGTCTAGTCCTGACCCCCGCTGGTCAGGAGGCCTGAATCTAGGCCAAACTTTGCCCTTTTCTCCCTGATGGCTCCTCTTCTGCTGGTGGGGCAGCGGGTAGAATATGAAGGTGCTTCCCCAGCTCAGCCTGGGGCCATGTGTGCCCACTCCCAGGACACGATTCCACCCCTGCTCTCTGGGTCTCTGCTGGCTCTACCAGGACAGGGCCACATGCCTCAGACACCTAAGGGAAGGGCAGTGCTGTCACCCACTAAGATTCCCTAGGGCAGAACTGTGTCTTTGGAACCCCTCCTCAGGGCTGGACCACGTCCCCCATGTCCCCTGGAAACCCCACAGCAGGGCTGATTCCCTCAATCCCCCGCCCCTGAACTCGGGTTCCTGAGTACAGGCTGAGCCCTCAGAGTCTGGGCCCTGTCCCCCCACAGCTGCTGCCCCTTGTACCCACCTCCCCAGTGGTGTCCCCGAGGCTCAGCAGGAGGAGCACGTACTGTTGCACATGATGGGCGAGTGGCTGGTGGAGGGCCTGGCCCAGCGATGCGCCCACCGAGCCCTCTGAGCTCAGGCCTGACAGCAGCTGGCGCAGCGCCTTCCGTTGGCCCCGCCAATACTCGCTGCGCATAGAGAGGGCCACACACCACCTTCACCCCCTCATCCATTCCTGCACCCACACCGCGGCCTCCCTGCCCTGGCGAATCCCCCCAGATCCCAGGGCCAGCCCCAGGCCCAAAACCTCGACCCTATCAGATCAACACAGTGCCTGAGTTACCCTCACAGGTTTAGGAGCAGTATCTCAGGCTGTGAAGGGATCACTGACCACAGCCATCCACCCTGAAGGTGCCCCTCCTTCCCTGGCCCAAGGCCAGCCCAGCCAAAGGGGGTCTGGACTCTGTTCTTGGCCTCACTAGGCCTTCCCTCCTTCTCTTCCAGTGTGGATCAATGCACACTTGTAGAGCCAGGAGTCCTCCAGTATGAGTCATGGGCTGTGACACCCGCTGCTCTGGGGCTGGGGCTTCCCCAACCCCACCCTCACCCAGGCACTCCTCCCCCCCTCAGGGGCCCGCACCAGCCCTGTGCTCACCCTCTCCTCCTTGCTGCCTTCTGGAAGGCCTGCACCACCATGCAGCTTGTGTAAGACTTGATATACCTGCAGGCAGCACAGACGACACACTGCAAACCCAGTCCCCAGCCCCACACCTAAGCTACTGCTCCCTGGGGTCCCCAGATCCCACCCACTACGCAGCTGCAGCCCTGAGGGTCCAGACAGTGGCCTGGCTCTGGGCATTGGAGACCTCAACTCCTGAGCCAACAAGACAATTCTAACATACAGTCTCTCTTCCCCAGGAGGCCCCAAGGCTCAGTCTGGAGAGTCTGAGCCTGCTGTAAGAACACCCAAGCCCAGGTGAGGCTGACCCCAGGCACCAAACCTTTGCCTGAAGCCTGACCCCTGGGAACCCCAACCCCAGCTGAACCTAAATGCCAGGTGGCACTCTGACCCCAGGGCTGAGCCCCAGCCCCCCCTCCAGGGGTCTTACTCCACATGGGCCTGCAGGACACGGTCAGCATCTCGCAGCAGCAGCAGGGACTCCAGACCGGTGGAGTCCGGGTGACGCAGCCTCTCCTGCAGTGAGTGCAGACTTTCCTCCGTCACTTCCCAGAGCTGCTGGGAGCTCTTGTGCAGCTGTTGCAGGAGCTGCAGGCATTCTCTGCCCCAGGAATCTGAGGGCTCTGGGGCTGGGGAGGGAGTACAGCCACACTGTGAGTGGGGGACGTGGGCATCACCTCCCAGGGAACATGCAGAGGCCCTGGGTGTTCACATGAGGGCCACCAGCACAGGCCAGCCCTGGATCTGTGGCAGAGTCCTGCATCCCTGGGATCTACAGGACAGAACTGGTGCACCCTAGAGCTGAGTAGGGGGAGGGCAGGCTGGAGCAGGGGGCAGCACCCTCGAGGAGGAAATAGAGGTATACATCTACCTCCTCACTTACCAGGGATAACCCTGAGAACCTTAGGGAACTAAGTGCACACACAAACTCCCCCCTCGCTCTGGGCTTCCTCGTCCTGGACTCCTCAGATCCAGAATGTGGAGTCCACAAGGTCACACAGTCCTCTGCCATTTCACAGATGCACAGAGGCACCTGTCCAAGGTCTTACAAGTGAGACCTAAGCTGGAAGTGAAACCTACAAGTCCTGTGTTCCAGTCAGGGCTTTTCCTGGCACCACCAGGTGCCCTAGGTGGGAACAAGATGAAAATTCAAGCAGAGGACAGTCTCCAGTCTTTCACCCTGGGAGAGGAGGAATTCCATATCTGTGCACAGCCTGGTCTGGGCTACGGATGGCCAGACCAGGCTGTGCACAGATATGGAATTCATGGCCTGGCCCCTCGGGGTTCCTTTCAGAAGGGAGTAGTCGGGCCGAGCATGGTGGCTCATGCCTATAATCCCAGCCCTTTGAGAGGCTGAAGTGGGCGGATCACTTGGAGTCAGGAGTTCGAGACCAGCATGACCAACATAGTAAAACCCAGTGTCTACTAAATATATGAAAATTAGCCGGGCATGGTGGCAAGCGCCTGTAATCCCAGCTACTCAGAAGGCTGAGGCACAGGAATCACTTGAACCTGGGAGGCAGAGGTTGCAGTGAACCGAGATTGCACCACCTCCATCAGAAGATGCTGATACCAAGTGTCACCACTCCTATTTGAGGTTGAGAAAGCTGTGGCTCAGCGAATCCAACAAGGTAGGACTCCTGTCCCTGGGATCATTCCTAGGTGCCCTTCCTCCCTACTACAGAGCCTAGACTCACCAGCTAGAAGCAGGGGCTTGAGGACAAGGCTGTTGACACGGGCGAGGGTGGCTAAGAAGACCTCCTCCAGCCGCAGCAGGGCCGCCTCCTCAGGGCTGCACATGGCCGGGGTGCCGGACTCGGCCTCCTAGATAGGGCACAGGTTATAGCCCAATAGCATGGGCGGGAGCAAGGCCAGTGCCCATCCTCTCAGGCTCAGTGCCCAGAAGCAAGGTACGTGACCAGCCACATCAGAACTGAGCGGTGAGCCCAGATCACCTCACAGGGGAGTTCCTGGACTGGCACTGACCCCCTCCCTGCTCCCTGCCTGGGCCCAGCTGAAGGGTCCTTGAAGGAGAGAGAGGGCTCAGAGCTGCCAAGGGAAGCAACCCTTTCTTCCCCAAAGGGTAGATATTCTTTAAGCCCAGTTTGGTCTGCTCATTCCTCTGCTCAAACACCCACCATGGATCCCAAGTGCCCAGAGTAGTGTTAGTGGTGCCCTGGTCTTAGCCCCCTTTCCAGTGAGTCTCCTTTCAGGGACTCTGCTGTCTCTGTAAACAGGGACATGCCATCAGAGGAGTCCAGCCTTCTTGTCCTCGAGGCCATGGCTCGGGACTCCCTGTCACCCACAAGGCTGTGTAAGCAAGCAGAGGTTTGAGGGCATGGGGGAGTCTGGAGGCCTCCTGCTGGAGCCACAAAGGATGGGCAAGAAGTGAAGAGGAAGAGAGGACGCAGCATGCAAGGGAGAGAACTGTGAGAGCAAAGGCTCCCAGTTGTGAGGGCCCAGACTCCGAGGGCAGCCCACCCAGCAGCACCCCGAAGGGCCACAGCTTCTCTGTGCCTCAGCCGGCCACGGACAGTCATGGAGGACTTCAGGGCAAGGTAACGATGGGATCCAAAGTCAGATTTGGGGAGACGAACGTATGACAGCTGCAGAAGAGTTGGTGCCGGGCAGTGAGAGAGAGTTCTATGTGGATGGGAGCATGGTCCCCTAACCGGATGGAGGGATAGCTGATCACAACCAACCACCCTGAAGGGGGGCCTGCTGGACGGGTGGAGGCCCTTGGGGTGGGCAGGTGGGCTTGAGCCTTGAGATTTCCTGTCCTGGACTGAGGGACATTCCAATCAGCAGGAATCACCTGGGAATGCAGTGCCCTGCCTGGAGGGAGGGGTGATGAGAGTCCTGGGCTCAGACCCACCCCCACGGCCAGGCTACAGCCTCTACTTCAACAAAGCCCTCCTCCACCAGACCCTAGTACCCTCACTTGGCAAAGTTCATCTGCCCAAATGGCCTGATCAGATATCTGGGGCAGAGAGTTAGAGGGTCTTTTAGCCCAAGACCGCAGACTGTCTCTCTCCTTGTCTCTGACACTCTGAGGCTTTGGAGTTAGACAGCCTGGGTGGGGCAGGGGCCATAATCAGGCAGCCAATGATAAGCAGGTGACATAGACAGACCCAAAAGGGTGCATGGGAAGGGGTCTCAGCCATCCCCTCCCCACCCTGCCCGAGGGTGCCAGGGGGCATCCCAGGCCGCTGGCAGAGCCTACAACTCCCAGGGAATTGGCTCTGGAATGGAGTGGGGCGGGCCCCTCAGAGCTCTGGCCAAGGGCCCGGGCCAGGCATTCCTGCCCCACCTTTCCTGCTACTGCTGCTTCGGGAGCGTGAGGCTGCAGAGGGAGAGGCAGGAAGTGGAAGCTGCCTGACGCCCAGCTGCAGCCATCTTCTCCCTCTGTGGGCCCCTGAGGCAGCCCCAGGCCCCCAGGATACAGGGGACTCCAGGTCGGCTCAGGCAGACCAGGAGAGCCCAGCCAAGGGAATAGGAGTCCAGCCAGGGCCACCTAACTCACACCCGTGTCTCCCGAAACTGCTGGAATGGAAAGGCCCTTTGGGGACGACCTTTCTACTCTCAGCTGGCCATCAGCTGGGGTCTAAGCTAATCTTGGTGAGGATATTCAAGGCTGGCTGGGGAGGTGGGAGAAAGGGTAAGGCTAGGATGGGAGATGCAGACTGGGAACCAGTTCAGTGCAAGTTGAAAAGGTACTGCGGTGAATAGCTCGCCGCTAGGAAGACTTGAACACCACCATCCCTGCACTCTTCTGGGGGCCAGCACCCCAACCCCAGCCGACACCATACCTTGGCAAGGAGCTCTCTGGCCCTGGAGATGCCTCTTCTCCTCAGGTTTCCCGTCCCTTGTCCCCACTGCTCAGTCTCAGCGGCTGCCCCAGGAGCAGCTTCTGACCACCCCCTACACCTCACCTGGCTGCTCAGCTCTGGCCCAGCCTCAGCTCATCCACAGCCCTACTCCTCCCTGTACCTCAGCCATCCCTCTACAAAATGGGGGTTCAACCAGATCACAGCATTTTTTTTCTTTTCCTTTTCTTTAAATTAGAGATGGGGTCTCACTATGTTGACCAGGCTGGTCACGAACTCCTGGCCTCAAGTGATCCTCCCATCTTGGCCTCCCAAAGTGCTCGGATTACAGGCATGAGCCGCGGCATTCAGTCAAAGCAGATCACAGCTTTTCAAACGAATTAAGTCCCCCCTCAAAAGGACAAACAGGTGGAAAGGGGCTTCTCTGGGTGTAGGGAGCTGGTCCTTAGACTCCCCACCCCACAAAGCAGCCTATGACCATTGGGGTCCAGACTCAAGTTGGCAACTGTTAACCTGGGGGATCTTCCACATCTGTGGCCCCAAAGGGATCTCCAACCCTGGAAAACTAAGTCCCACTGCCCAGAGGAATGGGCAGAAGTTAAGCATGGCTGGGAGGCAGTGGGTTGACGTAAGACTGCGGTCGAAGCTGGGATTCGGGTTGGGTAGCCCTGAGGGGCCCAGCTCCCAGGCTAGGGAGTTTGAGGCTTCATCCTGGAAGTGATGAGGTGAGTGTAAGTACCGGGGTGAGGCAGCATGAATGTGCATGAATGTGCATGAATGTGTCAGTGTGCATGAGTGTGCACGTTTGCAGAGCAGGAGGAAGAGGGGCTGAACCTTAACATGAGGGCCCTGCAGGAGTGGCCCCTCCTAACCTTGTCCCAACCCCTGTCCCACCCCTAACCTTCCCCCTCCAGTCAAGGGCATGGCTTCCTCACCCTCTTCCTCCCTCCAGTTCAAAGGTTCCTTAGTGGCAGGCTGTGCCCAATGTACAGATGGAGAAACTGAGGCCCGGGACCAATGGGAGGGCCCAGAGACACTATCTGTAGAACTTGTGCAGTGTTCAGACCCAGACCTCTGGCTCCAGCCCAGCAGGCTCTCCTGAGCTAAGTGACTCAGAGAGGTTGGGCAACTCACCTGAGGCACACAGCAAGATCCTGGCAGGGCTGTCCTAAGACAGTCCTGATGCTCACACGGGGTGGGGCTGGGTGAGGACAGAACTAGCCAGTCACAGCATGCCTAGGTGCGTCAGTGGCTGCCCCTGTGGCTCTCTAACCAGTAGCCAGACCTGGTCTCTTCTCTGCATTCCTGGCCTCTGTCCACACTGGGTCCCTCCCAGGCAGGGTCACTGAGGCCTCCCCTATCCCCTCCCAGGCCTGGCTCCTCAGGCCCCTGACACACCTCCTCATGACACTCACTCTGGTATTTCCTGGTCTGCAGAGGCAGGGAAGCCCTGCTTGCTGTGGAGGCTTTTTCCTGGGCTGCCCTGGAAGCCCCTTCGTTGTCTGGTGCCCAGTGGGGGACAGTAGAGAGACGCACTGCCCTAGGGAGGGGGCGCTGAACTGTCACACCTGATCCCTCAGTCTCATGCTCGCCTCTCCTCCCACCACCCTTCCTTGGCCCCTCCCCTCCGTGGCTCCAAGCCTCTGGTCCTGGAATGAGCACCCCTCCCTGCTGTCGCTTACGTCCCGGCTTCCCTTCCTCTCCCTGCCCAGGCACACACTCAGTCGCTGGAGTTTCCCAGACCCGAGCTCCTGTTCCGGCCGCCAGGCATTTGCCATGCGGCTCCCATGCGAAAGGCCACCTCCTGGATTCCGGTGTCCTGCCCTTCCGCCCTAACCAGCCGGCGTCACCTCCTCCTGGCAGTCTCCCCGCGGGCCTGGCACCACGGCTCAGGTCGGGCTCCCGGCGCTGCCCCGAACTCGAGCCCGCGGGCAGCCAGGCGGGGAGGACGACGCTGTGAGCCCCGCGGGAGCCGAGGGGGGTCTTAGGAGGGACTCGGACGACCGGGGGTGGCTGCCGCCGGGACCGAGGAGCGGGGCGGGGACTGCGGCTGCCGAGGGCGTGCGGAGGCGGGAGCCCCCACCTGGACGGGCTGAGCGTGGAGCGCAGAGACCCGCCCGCAGACGCGCGCCCTCCGTTGCGCCCTTACCTGAGCGCTGTGGCTGCCCTGCGCCGGGAGTGCCCGCTAGGCTCCTCGCTTGCACCCCCTGCTGCTGCCCCTGCCAGCCCCGCCCCCTCCGCCCCGCCTCGCCCCGCCTCCGGGTGTTGCTCTGGAGTTACAGGGTGGCCACCGACGGGCCACAGAGGAGGTGGCGCGCGGCATTAATCCGTCCCGCCGCCCCACGCCTCTCCTGAGGTCTCCCTCTGTGGTTCCCCGGGATACCGAGGCCCCTGGGACCCGGCGCCCGAGGCCACCTTGCTGCCCCCTCCCCACCTTGCTGCCCAAGGGAGGGGGCGTTGAACTGTCACACCTCATCCCTCAGTCTCCCTTAGTGCGGAGACGGGAGCCCTCCACTGCTCTGCGAGCCTGGGGTGCAGCCGCGTGACCTCCCCAGTCTGCCCTGAGTCACAGAAGCTGGCACACACCGATCGCTGTGTGGGTTCGTGGAACTTGGAACCGATAGAAGGTATACTGAGGTGCCCTGCGGCCCCCTGGGCTGGGTGTTCATAGCCGGCTGCCCCTCCTGTATGACACTGGGGAGGCTTCCTTCCCCTCCACCGCTCCTGAATCTCAACATGGCCCAGTAGAGCATGAAGCCGGCCGGGTGTGCTTTGTGTCAAGGCCTGAGACCTTGAAAAGGGTGGCTGAAGACTGGTCTGGGACAGACCCCAGGGAGCAGGAGGGAACTTAGTTCAAATCTGTAACAAAGAAGCCCCCTGCCAGCCACCTGATCCCCCTCTGGCCACCAGGCTAGTCACTCGTTGCTCTCAATGGCACCCAGGTTCCAGTGAGTAGGAGGTTCAGGGTCCAAGGCAGCTGTGGAAGAGGAGAAAGGGCGACTCACCAGCCCCTACTCAGTCCTGAGGAGGTGGGAGGCATCCCCCATCCTGCTGGGCTGAAGGGACCTCCAGTGGAGGTAAATGGGGGCCTGCAGCCTGCCAAGCTCATCCCCCTGTCTCCCTTGGGTTGTCGCCAGGTGGGAGCTTACCGTCTGCCAAGCTGCACGTCACCCTTAGGCTTGGAGGGTTTCCAGCCTGGAACCCTTGCCTGAGTGACTGCAGGCCCCAGAGACCTCACCCTTTTGCCCCACATTGCTCTCCTCCTGGAGAGATCCTGCAGAGCCACCCCTCCCTGCTTCTCCATCCCTTCCCACACTGCCAAGGCCCTGCCCTAGCTCTGGCCTCCCCTTTTCCAGCCTTGCTTTTTTGCACCCCCTGCTGCCTGAGGGGCTCCATTCCCAAAGGCCCTGCTCCTCTGGTCCCCGCCTGCCAGAGGTGTTGCTGTGTTGGTGGGTGGGGGCTGTCTCAAAGGAGGTCTCTGGTGAAGTGTCCCTCTGGCCCTCTGGGAAAGCCTCCCCTTTCCATGTCCTTCGCCCCCAGGCTCCGGACTTTGGTCCCCACCAGCCTTCACAGCGCTGATGGCCTGGGGAACTGTCTGCCAGGGCACATGATCTCCCTGAGTCTACACAGCCTGGCAGAGCCACTGCCCCAGCAAGTGGAATGAACTCAGGCTTCAGGTTCTAAACAGGCCTCCAAGGTCTTCCCTGTGGGAATCCTGTGTGCCTGTGGGGCAATGGGAGGGAGCAGAACATTCTGGAAAGAGACTGGTATGCGGCCTTATGCTGCTTCCTCTTGCTGTGTGATCGCAGGCAATGTGTGGCTTCTCTGTGCCTTAGCGTCCCTGCTGGTGAAATAGTCTTACCTGCACCTCCTTCTTGGGGTTATGTGGGACTCTGAGAGGAGGGGCATGGTGGGTTCAAGGGGCTCCTTCAGGGATGAGCATGGTTTAGCAGATCCCCCTAGAACATGGGTGTGGGCTACCAGGCATCCGTGGGGTTTGGGAGGGAGGCAAGGGCTAGAGAGTGGTCATGGCCTCAGGAGGAGCATGTGGCCTCACCACTTGTGACAAACAGGGGCAGGTGGGGCAAGGCCCGTAGCAGGGCAGATCCGATCTTGTGCTAGGTGTCTCTGGGCCTCAGTTTCATCATCTGCACGTGTGGCTGAGGGAAGGCAGTGCTGCCTGGGCTCTAGCAGGAAGGGAAGGGCTCCCACGTGTTCCTCCCTAGAGCCCAGACTTCCTGTTCAGCCACACCTAGGGGAATGGGAAGGCTGGCTGAGCTCTGGGCAGCAGGCCAGTTCCTCCCCATTCCCTGGGTGACCTCATGCGCATTGCAAGCCTGGTTTTCCTATCTGCTAAATGGGGCAAGACCTGCCCAGCCTCTCTTCCAGTTCATTCTTGGCTTGGGGCCAGATAAGGCCTCCAGTAGTGCCCAAAGGACAGCCTCTGCTGAGCCCACCTGCCTCAGTCCGCTGCAACACAGCCAAGGGCCCCGGCCAAGCCTACCACAGATGTGTATACACCCACCGGCAGCACTCCCACGTCCGCTGCCCGAAGATACAATTCTACCGTGGGGAACAAGCGGGTCCCTGTGCCACGTGGACCCGTCTACCCCTGAACCCACTGGTAAGTTGCACAACTCTAGTGGCAGTCCTGGGTACACATGTGCCCAACCACAGGGACACAGGCTGGCACACTGGTCCAGGGAACGCACACGTAGGTGAATGGCACCTGTGATTCTGGCAACCCTGAGACTCACACTCAGCCACACACAAAGCTGCATACAGAATCCACAGGCACTCCTGTGTGCACCAGTGCCTTAGCGCACAAGGCACATGCTCGAGCGCACACAGGTCCGACACAGGCCTGGCCCAGCCCCACAGCTATTCCGGGCTGAGCCTGGGGCCAAGAAGGTCAGGGATAGCCAACTCCCGGCAGGCCCCAGCTGCTGCACCATAGGCCTAGGCTGCTCAGCTCCCACCCCCACCCCAGGCTCAGTCCCTGGATCCTAGCCTAGCTTTGTGATTGGGGGGCCTCATTTCCTACCCCCAGCTTCCCCAGAGCTAACCCTTAAGCCCTGTGGTTTCAGACTCTAGGAGAGAACTTTCCACAGGGTGCCCTGGCAAGTACCCCCTGCCTTGCTCACAGCTTCCAATCCACAGGCCCTAGAGGCTGGACTGGGTCCCTACAGGAAACTCACAGGAGCTAAAAATAGTACAGGAGGGAGAAGCAGGGTTCTGCAGGCCAGCATTCACAGCACCATGTATGGAGGGGACACCGTCTTCCCGGAAACAAGGCTGGGGGACCTGGAGTCCAGAGCTCCCCAACCCCAGACATGATGGCCCCAACTGGGATTGGGGTGCAGGGGGGATGTGGGGGCCCTCCTAAGAAGCAGAAACAGTACTGGACACTGGGCAGTGCCCTGGGTTAGAGGCAGAAGGCTGAGTTGGAGGCCACAGTTGCTGCGTGACCTTAGGCAGGGCATAACCCCCTCTGAAAAGCCCTCAGAGCTGTAAAGTCCCTCAAAGATGGGGGGCGGGGAAACCTATGTGGTGCTGGTATTGATTTTCGTCCTCGGCTCCTGGCTCACAGCTCCCATTGCCCTTGTTCCAGTCTTTGGCTATAATGTGTTGGGCCTCAGGGCAGGCCCCAGGAAACGGAATCTCTCTGACCTTCTGCCCTGCTTTCTCCTGCCCCAAGCCAGGACCCTGATCTTCCAACACCTAATCTTCCAACACCTTTCTGATTGCGGATCTTAAGGCCCTCTCCAGAGTGGGTCCTGCCCTATACTCTGGGAGAAAGGAATGCAGATGTCATGAAGCCTCCGTAAAGCCCAAGAGGACGGGTTCAGAGGGCTTCTGAAGAGCTGAACACGTGGTGGCTCCTGGAGGGTGGCCGTCCAGAAGGGCACAAAAATCCCACACCCCTTCCTCCACACTTCGCCCTGCAACTCTTCCCCTGCATCCTTCGTAATACCCCTTACAATAAGCCAGTAAAAGTAAGTCAGTGCTTCCCGGAGTCCTGTGACCCACTCCAGCAAATCAAACCCAAAGAGGACGTTGTAGGAATCCAATTTGAAGCCGATTGGTCGCAAGTTCCAGAGGCCAGACTGGCGACTGCTGTCTTGGGGCTGTGCGGGCAGTCTCGGAAACTGAGCCCTGAATCTGTGGGATCTGCACTATCTCCAGGTAGAGCTTACTGAATTGAATTGGAAGGCACTCAGCTGGGCCTGCTGCTTGGCGTGTAGGGAAAAGCCCACATATTTGGTCACAGAAGTCTTCTGTGTTGATGATTGCTGTTGTGTTGGTGTAAGACCAGCGGAAAAGATCCAGTTTGAGAGCGTTTTCAAAACCACTTCAACTTTCAGGATCTTTGCCTCAACGTGGTATTTAATACTGGAGAATTGGAAGCAATGGAAATACCGAACAAGGTCTTGAGTTTTTATACAGTGTAACATTACATAGCCTTTAACAAGAGTGACTATAATCACAATGACTAGCATTTAATAAAGGCTCGTGATGTGCTGGAGCATGATACTGGATTTGAAAAAATAGAAGTGGGGTCTCGCTATGTTGCCCAGGCTGGTCTCAAACTCCTGAGCTCAAATGATCCTCTTGCCCTGGCCTCCCAAAGTGCTGGGATTACAGGCACCAGCCACCGCACCCGGCCCATGATCCTGAATTATATCAATTTGACAGATGAGGGATTGAAGCTCAGAGAGGTTAGGTAGCCCATCTGAGGATTCACAGCTGTCAGTATGCCCAAGTCCCAGTAGCCTTACTGCAGTTTTAAGCTTTAATAACTTCAGAAGTTAAGACGTATAAAGCTACAAATTCACCAAAAAAATTTTTTGGAAGTTTGTTTAAATTCTCTTTATGCTACTTTAGTTTTGTGAATTTTGAATGACCTAAGTTCTTTCTTTCTTTCTTTCTTTCTTTCAAGAGACAGAGGTCCCACTATATTGCTCAGGCTGGTCTCAAACTCCTGGTCTCAAGCATTCCTCCCACCTCAGCTTCCCAGTGTTAGGGTCACAGGCGTGAGCCACCACACTCAGCCAACTCAAATTTCTTTCAGTCAACTTCTACCATCTTCAGAGGGCAAAAAAGGAAGCTGAAACTTTCAAATGGTGTTTCTTATACATTTGTAGCTTTATACTTCTGAGGTTATTAAAGCTGAAAACTGCACTGAGACTTCTGAGACACCCTGCCACTTAAGTTCAGTCATGTTGACTTTGAAGCCTGTGTGATAGTATTTGGCTGTGGTGGGGTCAAGGAGGATCTAGATTACTTGAGTTGGTTTAAAAAAATGTTTGGGTACAAAAGTATACTAGAAATAGTGTACAGTGAGATCTCAGCTGTGTTCCCGGGTCTAGAGAAGTGGAGCGTACGCGGGGCAGTGGCCATATCAGGGGACACTCATGATTGCATTTTTTTTCAGATTTCTTCACTGGGCTTGTCCTACTTGTAGGAAAAGGTGGCTGGGGCAGACCTGTGTTCCTTACAGTTAAATGATTACAAGCTTGCTTTGCGTTTTATACACTGAGATTTGTGCCACAGATCAAATATTGAATTAAGAAAACTCCAAACTATGGTGCAGTAAAATAAAAGCAGATATCAAGCGGTAACAGGAGGCCTATATAAAGACCATCTGAGAGCGCTTTAAACCGCGGAAGGCTGCGGTGTGGCTGCAGGGCAGGAAAGGCTGCCTTGGTCCCATGTCTCTTCCCAACATAGGGTCTACTCGAGGGTCTCGTAAAGAGGGCTTGCTTATGCAAGAACTCTGGGAAGGAATTCAACCTCTGGTCACAAGAGGGTCTTTGCAGGTGGGAGCCTGCAGGACAGGAAATTCTTGCAGGAAAGAGATAACCGGAATGCCACAGACTCTGCCTGTGTTCTCAGAATATGGAGTAATTCTGATTGCTTTGTGTCCGCAATGCTCAGGAGGTAAAATCCCCTTGATGCATAGTGTGAGGTCCCTTGCCCCTCCCTGTCCCTCTTGCAAATGCACCTGATAGACAATGGGTGGTAAAAACTCTGTGTCCTTAGTTAGCATTTCTTAGAAGAACCACATTTGCTATCAGATGCTGCAGACACATGCTCTTCCCCTGAACATCAACCTTCTCAACCCCCTCCCCACAGCCCGCACGTTAACAATAAAAAGCATGTGGTGCCCAGAGTCAATGCCAATGCAGATCACCCCGCGCCAGTGTGTGCTGGACCCTGGACCCACACTGTGAACTTCTAGTCTTGTCTTTGTCTTATTTCTTTTCTCACTCCCTCGTCACCACTGGGACATGGGGCATCCACGTTCAGTGTTGGGCTGGTTCCCAACACTACTTCTTGATGGATGGATGAACTTTACAGAAAACAGAAACAGCTCTTCCCTGACTGAGCTGTGAATGGGAGCCTATAAGCAGCAGAGGGCTGCCTACCCTACTAAGGAGAGCCAGCATTCCCACATTCATTAATTCATATAATCCTCGCTTCAATCACAGGAGTCTCGCCCTCCCCATTCCATGGATAAGAAACAGAAACAGGAGTAATGCTTCTCTTAGGGCAGTACTGCCAGGCTCACTCAGTCATCACCCGTCCAGCCTCCCTGACCCCATGTCCCGAGGGTGACCCCCCTAACTGGTCAGTGTGGCTTTCGCAAACCTGGCCTGTGACAGCAGCATGAGGAAGTGGGGGCTGGAGAGCTGCAGCACGTGATCTGGATTTTAGCAGAGTTCCTTTTGCCTGGCCAGGGCATCCCTGGGGAGGATGGGGTGGCCCACCCCGCTCAGTCTCCAGACTTTGCTGCCCACTGTTCAGTGTCTTCTCGATGGGTCTCCTGGGCTGCCCGCCTCCAGAGCTCTCATTTTCCTGCCCGACTGTCATCTCCAGCCCCTGACACTGGCAGGTGTCTGCAGGTGGCCCTCTGCTTCCTGCTGCAGCCCGCTGTGGTCCTTGCCCATTCATGCATGTCCAGGCCAGAGCCCCACAGGGCTCTGGAGCCACAGGGTCCCCCGTTCTCAGGGCAGGCCTTGCTGGGGAGAACCAGGCCATCCCCAGCCTGCGCAGGCCTCCACCAGTGTCCCTGGTGATAAGGGTTGCAAGGGGCTCAACACCTGTGCTGCTTCTCCTAACACTCAGCAGCAGGAGATAAATAAGAATGGAAGGAAGGAAGAAAGGAAGGGAGGGAGGGAGGAAGGGAGGGGAGTGTCTGCTGACTCCAGGCCTCCCCACTCCTCTTCCTAAGTCTTCAGCCTCTCCCCCAGGTCTCTACATCTCCTCAGAACCTCCCTCTGTCCTCCGGTTGTCAGGCTCAGCATGGGGTCAGGGCCAGAGTGCAGTGTGGACCAACTTCAGCATGAGGTCGGGGTCCTGGCTTAGACTGACGTCAGAGTCAGCAATCAGGCTGGGACAGAGGTTGAGGGTACCCAGAGTCAGAAAATGGTTCTCCAGACCTTCCAGGGGCAGCCCACTTCTGTCCTATGGGGCAGAAGATGCTGGCTTCTTCCAGAACCTTCCATAACACTGCCAGCTGGCAGCTCTGACCATACCATCCCCTGCTCTCCAGCTCTGGTGTCCAGGGTGACGAGAGCCGCCTCTAGGCAGAAAGCCAGGCCAGAAAGCCCAGGACATCCCTGAGCGCCTGTCACCATGACAACCTGCCCCCTCTGCCCCCGCCAAACTCAAATCCAGTATATTTTTCAAATCCAGCATGACAGAATGGGAAGGGCCTCCTAGATCAGCAGATTCCAGCCCCTCCCCTTGTCCCAGATGGAGAAACTGAGGCCCGTTTGCAGAAGGGAGGGGGACCTGTTGATTAGGGACCTGACCTCAGCCTGTCCTCTCTCCCCCCACCCCCACCTCAGTGACCCTGGGGCCCAGGAGCTCTGAGGAGCCTGCGGCCGGTCTCCCTGGAGGGAGGAGGCGGGCTCTCCACCGCAGCGATGGCGGGGGCGGGCGGCGCGGGAACCTGACACCCAGGATGAATAAATGATGCTCGCTGACTACCCGCAGCTACCGAGCGCCGGTTGGCAAGGGCAGAGACCGGCGGCCGGCCCATTTGTCCGTGGGCTCCGCAAGCGGCGCGGCGGCGCGAAGATGGCGGGGCGGCCGGGCGCGGGACCCCTCTGGGCGCTGGGCGGCGCCGCGCTCGGGGTGTGCCTCGCGGGGGCTGCCGGGCAGCTGGTGGAGGTGAGGCCGCGGCGCGGAGGGACTGGGGAGGCTGTCGCAGTCCAGGCAGGGGGCAGGGGGAGAGGGGGCGCCTTTCTGATCGGGAGCTGCTTTTACCCCTTCCTCTTGCCCTAGGAGATCCAGGCTCCTGGGCCACGAAGCTCTGCCCCAAGCGCTGCCAGGCTGTGAGAGAGACCTCGCCCCACTCGTAGGGTCCCTCTTCGGATGGAAGGGCACAGCCCCCGATTTCAGGAGCATCAGACTGATGGGGGAGACTCACCTTGACTTTAGGGATTCCCAGCCTGACTGGGGACACAGCCCTGCCCAGACTGATGGGGGATACTGGGCCCCCATCCTCCAGCGTTTGGTCTGAATGGCAGGGAGATGCACAGCCGGGGGTGTCCTGGACCTCTAGTCTGATGAAGCAGATCTCGACCCTGAATTTAGGGTCTTCTGGAGGTAACAGCCTCTGTCTCCAGAGATACTCCAGGGACCCCTGTCTAATGGAGAGGGGAGACACAGCCTTAAGATGGAGGTGAGGGCATTCCAAATTGGAGGGTGGGGCAGCAGGATCAGGAGACCCTTTGCAGAGCAGCCATGTGGAGCACTAGGTCCAGAGGGGCCGGTGGGGTTCAGGGACTGGGGAGTCTGACTCGGTCCAGGTGGTAACAGGGAGCTTTGGAAGGTTTCTGTGCAGGGACACGTCACGATGAGTTCTGGTTTGGAAGGAGAGTAAACTGGAAGGGGTCACACAGAGGGAGAGCTGGGAGGAGCTGCTGAGAGCACAGAAGCAGGTGGAGAGGATGGCTGGGTGGTTGGGCGGCTGCGCAGAGCCTGGCTGGAGCCGGGAAAGGTGGGGCCATCTGTCGCCTCCCTGGCCTCCTTGCACCCCACTCCTGCTGAGCCTGAAATGGGAGCCAGTGAGGGAGCTGGCAGACCAGACCTAGGATTCTGGATTGTGAGGTGAGGCCAGAGGGAGAAGACCCAGGAGCCAGGGCCAGGAAGAAGCAGGAGAGGAAGGCTGTGAAGGCAGGGGCCGACCAAAGGGAACGGGAAAACAGAAATGCAAGAGGCAGTGAGGGGTGCCTGGGGAAGCCCTGTGGGGTGGGGGCTTGGGGACAGTGTGGGATAGGGAGGACAGAGCCATGGGGAGGTCGTTATATGGGGACACAGCCCTGAACTGGAGGGTTTGCTGGGGACATAGGGACAGAGCCCTGAACCTAGATGTAGCCCGTCCCTGCTGTTGCCCAGAGGGCGTGACCAGGAGGCGGGGCTAGAGTCAGGTATCAGCTCCAGTGTCCCTGTAAGGGGAGCTAAGCTGGCTTGAGCCCCGTGGGGTGCACTTGGGCCCCTCACAGGCTGTCCTGAGGCCTGGGTACAGAAACGGAGCTGGTTTAGGTGCAGACAGAAAGCTGGGGGCGGGGGCTAAGTCGGTTCTGAGCCAGGGACTCTTCTCCCCACCCCTAGGAACTCATATTCCCCTAGCTCATAGAGGGAAATTGCATTTGGAGGCCATCTGCCTGCGGTCTGAGCAGGGCCCTATCTCTTCCCTCCCGGAAGCACCAGAGACATAGGCAGGGCTGGGGGCCGTGTCCCCACCCACCTCGGCCCTGCATGGGTCACCATCACCCTCCATCAGCCCGTGAGGCTCTGAAGGAGGTGGGGGCCTCCATGCTCCAGAAATCAGATCCCAGCAGGGCCTACCATGAGGAGAAGACTAGCTGTTACCTGCTGCCGTCCACCCAAGACCCCTATCAGTCCCAGCTCCACCCACATCAGGACTGGGGCAAAAATGTGTAGGAAGTGACGTCTCAGCTGCCTTGGCTTAGAACCTGAGAACTTTACTATGGCCCTCTGAGTCTTCCAGTCATACAACCCAGCCGGGCCAACACATTGGGCCTTAGAATTAGGGCAGCTGCACCACCGAGCCTCTAACCCTAATGCCACAGACATGTGCCTGACCACCCCACATGTGCTTCAACCACACTTGTGCCTGACCTCACACAAGTTCCCCAACCTTACATACCTGGGTCTGACCCCACACATACATCCAGGGGACGGTACTGAGGAATGGTGTCTTCTTGTCAATAGTTCACCCTGGCCAGGAGAAAAAAGCCTGGGAATCAGGTACCAATCCCAGCCCACAGAATCTCTGGGTTACCTGCGACAGGTCACTGATCCTCTCTGAGTTCTGCAACCCATGCTGAAGGGTGGCATTCACTAGATGAAGAAGTGCCTGGCTCATGATAGATGTCCAACCCATGTTTATGGGCGTGGGGGAAGAAGAGCTGAATGGACGAGCTACAGGTTGACTTTCTTCTCAGAAAACCAGAAGGGACTCCTCCTGTCTGTCATTGTTTGGAAATCAGGGGACAACAGCTTGCTCATATGCCCCAGGGTTCTCTCTGAGGACAGACCCTTTTCCCTGCCCCGCAGCCACACTAAGTGACATAGGGTCATGTCCTTCTCTGGTCAGGGACAGATGTTACTCAGATTCCACAGTGTGGGTACACGTGTCTTCACACCTGGCCAGGACTGTGTCCCCTAGACACCCAGGATGGGTGATGTTTCCTAGACACCCAGAGTGGGCCATATCCCCTAGACATCCAGGGCAGGGCCATGTCCCCTGTACAACCAGGACAGGACCATGTCTCCTCAACACTCAGGACAGAACCATGTCCCCTTAACACCTAAGGCTAGGGCCATGTCTCCTCAGACCTGGGGCAGGGTCATGTCCCCTAGATACCCAGGAGGAGGGCTCTGTTCTCTCAGACCTGGGGCAGGGATATATCCCTTAGATATCCAGGACAAGGCCGTTTTCTCTCATAACTGGGACAGGACTGTGTCCTCTAGGGGGCAGTGTCCTGTCCCTCCAGCCCCCCAGGGCAGGGTAATGTCTCCCAGGAAAGTGGGAGTGGCTGGCTGTGCTCTACTCAGGCTTGCTACAGCCGCGCTTCTGCCTTTTGGCCTCCAGGTGTCGCCACAACACTGCAGACCTTTTATTTATCTAGTGCCTGTCCTGTGGACACTGGCTGAATCTTCTGTTTAGTGACTTCCAGTAGGGTAGGTGACCATAGGAGGCCACCTGGCAGGAGTCCAGGCCAGCTGGCAGAACTATGAGGCCCTGACTCCTAGCTCCACACCCCACCCTCACTAGGGAGATGTGAGAGCAGCCCGTCAGCCAGCACAGCGGAGACCTCGCCTTGTCTCTGGCCTTGGTCCTGAGACCCCATCTGCCTGGGTGGAGCCCAGGACTGGAGCAGGAGGGCGTGAACCTGGCCGGGACAAGCCATCCACGTTTGCTCCTCCAAGCCTCTGTTCCCCCAAGCATCACCCACCCTCCCACTTCAAGTCCCTGTCTCTGCTCAGTTCTCTTGCTCTAAATCTGGAACTTCCCAAGGTCTAGGGTGTTGGTAGTGCTTGCTTAAGAGAGTCGATTCTAGGAGATTCTGAAATGCTTGGGCTGAGTCCTTGCTGAGGCCTGGGCCCTTCTCAGCCGGTCCCAGCTGGCTGGCCTCTGCCTGGCTCACTCCCCTCTCTCCTGACCCACAGCCCAGCACGGCCCCGCCCAAGCCCAAGCCGCCCCCGCTGACCAAGGAGACGGTGGTGTTCTGGGACATGCGTCTGTGGCACGTGGTGGGCATCTTCTCGCTCTTCGTGTTGTCCATCAGTGAGTAGCTGATCCTGCCCTCTCCACCGCACTGCAGTGGGAATCCAGCACCCCCTGCCCCCCCACAGAGGACTCGGAGCAGCAATTCCGGGCAGTACAAGTAGGCCAGGCGCCCGCAGGAGACCCGCCATGGTTTCTGGCACCTCCTGACCCACACAAACTCCCCATGGAGGGCTGACAGGCTGGTGGTGACCTGAAGTATTCTGCCGGACCCAGGGAGGTAGCCACACGGCAATTATGGTAATTACAGGGAACTCCACTGAACAGAGGACTGGGACGAGGACGTGTCATTTTTCCCTATGGCTGGCCTCCTGATGCTTTTCCTGCAGTTTGGCCAGCTTAAAGGCCACACCCAGGGGCCCCAGCAAGGCCACCCTCCACTAGAGGCTCCCCAGACGCCCAGCAGATGTGGCTCCCAGGCTTCGATCCCTGCCGTGTCAAATACCATTTTCCGGGAATGACTCATACCCGCCTCAATTAAAAGCAGGAAACCCATTCCTCTCCTGGGGTCTGGGAGCTTCCTGATGCAAAGTCACAGCAGAAATGGGCTTGGCCTGCTCCCTTTAGCCCTCCCTTCAGAATAGGGGTCTGGAGTTGGGGAAGGGGACAGAAAAGCACAGGAAATGGAGACCGAGTGGGGAGGCTGCCATGGCACAAAGCATCTGACAGAGGTTCCTACAAGGCAAAAGCCAAGTATAGGGGGATGCAGGTGGTAAAGGGAGAAGCAGCCCACTCCCCTGCAAAGGTGTCACAGAGGAGGGTCCTCTGCGCTACAGACCAGTGGGAGGGTGGGTGGGGTTTAGCAGGAGGGGAGGCTGAAAGGCATTCTAGGCAGAGGGGATAGTGTGAGGAAATGCAGCCTCACACGGGGTCTCGGATGACCCCGACTGGACATCTGCTGAGTGCACCTGGGTGGGGAGGTGACAGCTGCACTTACTCCCAGCTGAAGCTGTCCAGGGATGAGGTGCCCCAGAGAGCTGGGTGGGCCACCCAGACGTGAAGGGCTCTGAGGAAGACGACATCTGATGTGCGTGTGCTTCTCCTGGCACCAGAAGTGCCTTCCCAAGAGAAAATATCCACCCTGCACACCCCGCCCCCCCATCTGAACGAGAGGCTGTGATTGTTCCCAGCTGAGGCTGAGAACCAGTCAGACATCTTAGTAGAGGCCCCACAGACAGACAGGTGTGCCTGCAGCCTCAACCAGGTGTCCACAGAGGGAAACAGCCCACTGCAGGGCTGCGGGGTCATCTGCCCTGCACGAGCCACAGGTGCAGCCTAGGGTGCTGGTCTAGGGAGCAGCAGGGAGAGCACGCGGGCCTCAGACACAACAAAGGTGCCTGGGGCCACATGAGAAAATCGCAGTGTCAGACCCCAAGCAGCACTTGGACATCAACCACACAGACCATCTCTAACCCCATTTCCTAGAAAGGGAAAGGGATAGTCCCACCTTATCTTACCTTGCACTGGTTATCTTCCATTGAGACCTGGGGTCGAGACCAACCTCGGGTCTCAGGCATGGACACAAGTTCTGGAGAAATCCAGGACCCAGCTTCTTGGATCAGGCCTGCTGCCTGCTCAGGTCCACCCCTGGACAGTCAGATCTACAGCTAGGGCCCTTGTGCAGCTCCCTCCTCCAAGTGTATGCCTGGTTGATGCTGGCTCCCTAATTCATTCCTCAGGAGTCCAGTCCTATTCCCAGCAGTGAAGGCTTTGAGATAATCCCATTCACTCATTCACTGATTTTTTTTCTTTTATTCTGAGCCTGGGTGAGAGCTAGTGGGACCACAGTATTTGTCTGAAGGGGTTCTGCCTTGGTTGCATCAAATGACCCCAGAAGGTCCTCCAGTCCAGGCTACAGAGATCTGATCCATCTTCCCCAAAATAGACCTGGCTCATCCTCTGTGGGCCTTTCTGCCCCCAAGAGGCTGCCAGGAAGTTATGTCTGGTAATCCAATTTATAATAGGAACCAGTTCCAACCCCTCCCCTAGGGCTGGGGCCAGGGTGGTCAGCCTGTGGGGACCTTAGAAAAATAAACTCAGTCCAGCCAGGTCCTGGCAGCCCTGCCCTGCCCTGCCCATCACTAGACAGGCCAGCTCCATGCCCTGGCTCAACTGGCGTGGGTGCAACTGCCCTCAGCCGGAAAACCGCTCCTGGAATAACTCCGTCTGAGGTGAACGCCCCAGGGCAGGGTCTGTGCCCTCTCATGGGCTCCTGCCCTAGCCAGAGAGAGCCCAGGGATGTACTCCAGGAGGCTGAGGAGGGCATGCAGAGCCACGTCCTCTCATGACTGAGGCAGCTCTGGCCCAGCTCTCCGTGGCGTGGAGAGGAGGAGCTAAGTTGCACTAGAAGCGCTGCATGGCCCCAGGAAGCTATGGCTTAAGTCATGGTGCAGCCCTCTGCCTTACCCTACAGTGACTCAGTCGAGTCAGAAAGACCCTTAGGACCAGGACTGGTGACATAATTTAGCCAGGGGCCCTTCCAAGCACCAGGGCCTGTGCAACTCCATGAAGTCGGCCCTGCTCAGGAGAGCCACCATGGTCATCACAGGGTCCCCAGGGGTTTTGTCAAGATGCTGAGCCTACTGCCAGCGTCTGTTGGGTGAGACACATGCGGGTGCATGGCGGCGGCCTGAAGGAAGGCGGGTGCCATTCCTGGGGTGTCGGAAGCCCAGCCCCAGCCAAGCCTTCTCTGTCCTCCCTACAGTCATCACCCTGTGCTGTGTCTTCAACTGTCGAGTGCCACGGACCCGGAAGGAGATTGAAGCCCGATACTTGCAGCGAAAGGCAGCCAAGATGTACACAGACAAGCTGGAGACTGTGCCGCCCCTCAATGAGCTCACAGAAATCCCGGGAGGTGAGTCGGCCCTGGCTCCAGCCCTGCGGTGCCAGCCAGTTCCTCGGTCCCGCTGCTCTGTTCCTACCTTCCAACCGCAGCAGGTTCAGGGAGGGGCCCCAGCCCTGCCCCTGGACACCAGAGCACAGAAATCGGTCAGCGAGAGGCAGATAGAATGATGAGCCTGTTCTCCAGCAGGAAGAAGGAAGGAAAAGGCAGTGAGGGGGAGATTCTGGGGCTCTTCCCCTCGGGACGGCCAGGCCCCAGGGCCTCGTCTCGCCACTATCACATGGTCTCTTTCCCCTGCCCCGCAGAGGATAAGAAGAAGAAGAAGAAGAAGGACAGTGTGGACACAGTGGCCATCAAGGTAGAGCAGGACGAGAAGAATGAGGCCAAGAAGAAGAAAGGAGAGAAATGAGGACATCCTGGAGGCGGCCGCTGGGGCTGGCACTCAAGCTCAAGCCGTGGCCAGGTCCAGGCATGTTGGACTCTGAGCTCATTCGTGGACCACAGAGGCTGTGGATCACAGAGGGGAAGCTGAGGCCCGTGCCCACATCCTCATGGCCCATCAGGAGCAGGAACCAGACTCTAGCAGGTGTCCTGCCCCAGCCACATGGGTGCTGTTGGCAGAAGTGGTCTGGGGCCACTGTCCCTCTGCAGATACACTGCTGTCCCCACCCGGACCTCCCTCTGTCCCACCCTTTCTGCCATGGATGGCAGTGGGTGTGAAGGAGTAATGGGATGAGGGGTTACTTCAGTCACCCTTTCCAGCAGGAAGTGGCTGAAGTGCATGGCTCAGGGTGTAAGATCACACCCAGACTGGCCACGAGGAGGCAGAGAAGTTCACTGGGGGAAGTTGTGGCAGCAGGAGGGACTCTGCCTGGCCAGGGAGGAGCCCTGATGGTGAGGAGACTGCCTGGCAGGAGATCCAGCTCAAGGAAGTGAGCAGAGGTGGCTCCAGAAACAGAACCCCCAGCCCAGCAGACAGCAAGCTCAAGGCAGTGGGCAACCCTCATTTCACACATTGTGATGGAGCTGAGGCTGCTGCCAGGCCCAGCATGAGGCCCTGAGGCTCGGGCTCAGGGCTGGACTGCAGGGCTGGGTCAGGTGTACACAGAGCTAAGGCCAGTGGGCTAGAGGGTGCAGGAGAGAGAGCTGGAGCTGGGCCCCTCTTGGAAATCATAGCATATTTAAGAAGCCAAGGGGGACCTTGGGCTGTTCTGGTGGTCCCTTCTCTGCCCAGCAGTGCTAGGAGGTCTCAGGGCCCTAAGAGATCACAGCAGGGGCACGCTGACCCTGCGCCTGCTGACCACAGCGGCACCAGCTTCTCTGCAGCTTCCTCTTCTACCATTTCCCACTGCCGGCGCCTAAAAGAAGCATCTCTGACCAGAAGACAAAGGCCCAAACAGCACCTGGGGGAGGGCAGATGCACAGAGGTGCTTCCAGATGGCACAGAACAGACTAAGGCTCTGAAACCTAGGCCTGAACACTCCGGAGACACCAGAGGGTTCCCAGCCCGGGGAGCCTGCTGGCAAAGCAGCCTGTAGAGATTTGTGAATAAAGCTGAGTGCCTTCTCAGAGCCAAGCCTAGAAAACGGCCTCCTGAGATGGCCCCTCGGGATGCTCTGTTCCCAGAGCATTTATGTGGAGAATGACGCAGCAGTGAGTGGCAGATGGCTCAGGCCAGGCTAAAGTCCCCTCCCTGACTCTTCTCCCAGCCTGAATTAGGATGAGATAGAGAGAGAAATGGGGGCCAAGGGCCGAGGGGCAGCTGCAGCCCCCGGGGCCCACCCCTGAGGCAGGCGCAGGATTCGGGAGGGGCCCTGCAGCTCTCTAGGTGCTGTACAGGAAGGAAAGTGATCCAGGCTGATGAGGAAGGTGCATGACATGGGGTCTTAGGAGCAGTGAGGGACAGAGAAATGGCAAAAGGCCCCATCATGGAAGCTGTGGACTCTGCCACCAGATGGAGGAGGCAGTTGACTGACCTCTGCCGTCAGCCCATGGGCTTCTCCTATACAGTGGTGACAAGGGCCATTCTACTCATGCAGAACCCTCCTGTGTGGCCAGGCAGCAGAAATCCAGAGTGGTGAGGGCCACCCAGGGTCACGCAGAGCAGCAGTCGCTGAAGCCTGGGGGAAGTCCAGGCCTGGGCTCCACCTGCCCTCTCCCTGACATGGGGCCACCACCAGCCTTTTATGGGCAGGCCTAGCTGCTGATGGTTGGAATAATGTCTGACTTCAATGGGTGTCTGCCACAGTTTCCAGACAGGGGACAGAGATAGAGGGTCAAAGTTCTTTATGGCTCTTTGGGGCAATAAAAGGATGTGTTCTAGCCTCTGGCCAGAAGGCAACCAAAATCAAGGAAAGCCTGACTCCCACAGTATCACAGAAAGAGCACTCACTTCCCAGCCCAGACAGCTGCGCCCTCATTCCAGCCTCAAACCGGGTCCTGGCAGCCCCAGCTTCAGCCTGGGACGTTCCAGGTCCCTCCATCATCTGACCCTAATATCACCCCTTCATACCCCCTCCACCTTCTGCGGGAGTCACCCCAAATCTGGATGGGGGCAGATCCTGGAGGCTCTGCAATTTTCAGTGTAAACTGCCCGGAGTTCCCCACCTCACCCTCATCTGGTTCCCCTGCGGACTCCCACTAGTGCAGGCCCAGGAAACGAGGGGCCTCCGAGGCCAGGGAAGGAGGTATGGAAAAGAGAAATGTTTAATCGAGCACCTCGTCTCCACCCTGACTCTCAGGGCTGTGAGAGGGGCAGCTGCAGCAACCTGGGCACAGAGGCAAGGGTGGCCGACGAGGGAGGGAGGGCACACAGAGTCAGAGGGCAGCAAGGAGGCTGAGGGGCAGCGGGAGTGTCAGGAGCAGGGCCCTGGATGGGGCCGGCAGGGCCAGAGTCTGCCCGTGGAGTGAGTCCAAGATCCAACGTTGGTAGGAGGAGACATGTAGGTAGATGGGCGGAGCCTCGCTCTTCTGGCAGCCTGCACCCCAACTCACCAGTCCCACCAGGTGCCACGTGCCCTCCGTGGAGCAGACCAAGGGCTCTCCAGTTAGCTCCTGTGGGAAGGGTTGGGGGGAGGAGAGGTGAGGGAGGCCAGATGAGGTCAGACATGACCCAGCTCAGGGACAGGCAGGATGTCCTCACACCAGCTCCCTGACAGCCCCCTAGTGCCAACATGGGTGAAGAGTGCTCCATACCCAGGAGACCTTCCTCAAAGGGTTTCATCCCCCTCCTCTTAACACCCATCCTCCATCTCCCACGGACCCCCACTCCTCTCACCTCCAACCGCCATTCCCATTCCCAGCCCCCATCTCTTTCCTCCCGACCTCCCCTCAACACCCTCCATCCCCATCTCCCCCAGTCCTGTCCACCCCCTTCCCTTCCCCTGCCCACCTCTACCTCTCCCCTCTCCCTCCCAAGACCCCCTTCCCCAGGCTCTGCTGAAGGCAAGCGAGCCCGGGGAGGCGGCTCACATAGCAGAACTGCTCCCTGCGGGTGTCCTCCGCACACATCATCTGAGACGGGATGATCCGAACCACAGGAGGGATTTTGGTGAAGTTGTGGTAGAACTTGTCGCACTCGTTGTTGTTCAGGATGATGACTTCCTTCTCCTGAATGGTCCGGAACTGGGGCCACATGCCTGTGGGACAGGGCCCCATTGACGCACGGCCACTCACCGCTGCCCACGGCCGCCAGCCTCGCCTTGTCCTCTCAGCTTTTCCCCACATCCCACCTTTTCTGCATTAGCCACACAGCCCTGTCCTCATTCTAGCTGGTACCTGTCTAGGACCCTCGACACAGAGCCCCTGGAGCAGGCTGTCCCCAGTTCAGCCTTGCTGGGCCTGCTCTTGCTTCATGCACAGCCCAGGCCACCGGGGCCCTTGGCAGCCCTCCACCCCACTCGGCCTCTCCGCTTTTGCCACTCCCCTCCCGAGGGCCTGCCAAGCCTCTCGGGGCCCAGACCTTCCTCTCTCCAAGCAGCCCTTCCCCCACAGGTGTCTTCCCTGCTCAGCCTTCCCAGACCCCTCCGTGGAGCCCAGGCTTCTTCCTCCCGCCTCCCCAGCTAGTGTGTCCCTGTCCCTGGCCTGAGCTCCTGGGAGACAGGAGACAGATAGGCTACAGCAGGGATGACAAAGTCACCCCAGTTCCTCCCACATGGACCGAGGCCCCCGTGGCCTGTTTTGAGAGTAAGTGGATTCCTTGAGGCCACAGGGAAGGGCATCTCTCTTATGGGTTGGGGACGCCCTGAAGGAAGTGGACAGTCCTAGGATCCACTGGATGTGCCTGAGAGAGCACACTTGCTCTCTGGGCCTTGTTCTTGATAGGGATGACAAGGGCTGAGGCTCACTGAGGGGAGGGGAACCATGAGTGGACCCTGAGTGTCCCCCAGCCCCAGCTGCAGCCTGCCCCGAGCCGGCCATGAGGGCCTTCTGGGCAGCATTTGACAACACAGAGGCCTGCTCCCCACCGCAGATGCTCCACTGCAAGCTGCCAATGCCTAGGCAGGGTGTGGACTGCGAGGTAGTACCCTGTGCGTCTCTGCCCTGAAGCACGTTCTGTTGGCATGCCCTGGCCTGGCTCAGGATTCAAAGGCAATCAGGGTCCCCTGAGGGTGGAGTGGTAATGAGGTGTTCCCTCAAGGGGAAGGAGACCTCAGAGGTGAGAGCCTGGCCGGAAGGTCCAGGGAGCAGCACGCTCCCTGGGGAAGGTGCCTGAGAAACGTCCATCTGCGGTGGCACCCTGGCCTGCACCCAGGTCGTCTCTCACAGCACCCGCCCTGGTCTGGGGAGGCTTTGACTCACCATCAGCCTTGGAAAGTCCCCAGCCCGTCACAGTGCAGTGGGAATGGTCCTTCACCACGTAGTCCCCGCCAGGCAGGCAGATGGGCCAGACGTACTTGCTGTACTTGAGCTCCTGCCCGAGCTTGAGGAGACCGATGTTGTTGGCCTTGCCCACCCAGGACCAGAACCGCTGGGCCTGGTACCGGCTGTGCACGATGACCTGGATCACCGGGACATCGGAGGCGGTCTTCGTCATCTGGTCAATCCATGGACTCCCCACCCTCACTGAGTAGATAACATTACGCCTAGGGGAGCCGTGAGGGGAGGCCGCCATCAGCTCCAGGCGCCCGTCCCGGCCTCCAGCCTAGGCCCTCCGCCCCGCTGCTGCCCTCCCAGCAGATCCAGGCGGGCCATCCACCCGCTTTGAGCTCCCTGAGCCTACTCCTCACTACAGATGTGAACAGGGCCCTGCACACTCATTGTGTGGCCCAGTCCTCACAACCCTTCATTTTAAGGAGGGGGAAACTGAGGCTCAGAGAAGCCCAGTGAACCGCTCAGGGCTGCACAGCAAGGAGGCAGTGGAGGGGATGCGGACGCTGTTTTCTCTGGTTCCAAACTCGACTCCTATAGCATGGACTCTTTCACCCCATGCTGTGCCCTGGAGGGAGCAATTCTGCTCTTTCCAGCTCAATGGAATGGGCCATGGCCTAGCTCTCTTGCTGTGCACCCCTGGGGCACCCCTTGGAGTCTCTATGCTGGCCCTTAGGCCTGGAACACACATCACTGGTCAGCTCTCACAGCCAGCACCCTGGCGCCAAAACATCAGAACACCCATTCTTTTGTCTCCACAGCAACCAGACGCCCCTGTGAGCATCTATCTTCCTGTCTGTCTCCCCCACCAAGCTGGGAGGAATGATCCATCCCTCCTGTGTCCCAGTGCCCAGGCCAAGTCCTTGCTCAAAGAAGGGTCAGAGACGGTTGATTGAGGGAAGGGAGGAAAGAGGATGTGGGTGCAAAGGGGGTGAAATGAAAGAACTAGGAGCTTCGTCCCATGGAGAGGAGGCATGAGGCCAGACAAATGGCTTCTGAGCTTCCATTTCCCATCTGCGGAATGGCTACACGGGACCGAGAGGCCAGACGAGGGGAGCAAAGGGTGGGATACTCGAAAGACTGGACCCCTGAAGGAATTTTCAGGACTCAGCCTCCACCTGCTTGGAGCCAGGTAAGGCTGGGGCTGGGACTGCAGGGCTTTGCAACGCGCATAGCTGCCACTGCCGCACCGCCGCCAGAACAGCTGGGCAGGGAGGGGTGACTGGGCCCCAGCAGCTCCAAATGCCCCTCCACCCACCCCACCTCCGTCTCGACTCACTGGATCAGGCAGTGGGCCACAGTCAGGACCCACTGGGAGGCAATGATGGTGCCCGCACAGATGTGTGTGCTGTTGGCCCGCACGCTGACCATCCAGGGCCACCGCCGAGCCATGGCTTCCGGGTCCCTGAGTGTGGGGTCCTGCTCATTGGAAAAGCCACAGGCTGAGGAGGAAGGTGAGAGCTTGATGAGGGTTGGGTCTTTCCCTGCCCCTCCCCTCCCCGAGCCTGACCTCCCACCTCTCCAGCCACTGGCCTGCACCCCGCAGGGCTGCTCCCTTTCCACCCGTCACCATGGAATGATGCTGTCCACAGGTGGACTGGGGTCTCATGCCTCAGAAGGGCCCCAGCACTGCCTAGATATCTCTCTCCCTGTTCCCACAGCCCGGGCCCTGGAGCATCTCCAGCCCAGCGCACCACCGGCCCTCCGCCCTCCTCAACACACCCTCAGCTCCAACCAGACCCTTCACTAACTTCTTCCCATTTCCACCTGGCTCCGCTCTCTCCATGCCTCCTACTTCAGCCAAGGCAGACCTCTCTCCTCGCCCTGGGAACCCCTTCCTGTGATTCAGTGAGAGGAAAGTGGATGCCCCAAAAGGAAAATGGGCATAGCCCAGGGAGGAAATCCCAGCAGCGAATGACCACAGAAGCTGCTCCACCACATTAGTCTGCAGGGAAATGTGGACAACTGCTACTCTTTCCTTCTGTCTTCTTTCTTCTCTCTTCTTCTTCCCTCTTCCTCCTCCTCTGATGAGGCCTTGCTCTGTAACCCAGGCTGGATTGCAGTGGTATGATCATTGTTCACTGTAGCTTCAGACTCCCAGGAGGATCTTCCAAACTCAAAGGATCTTCCCACCTCAGCCTCCCGAGTAGCTGGGACTACAGGCACACACCACCACGCCCTAGTTTTTTTTTTTTTTTTTTTTTTTTTTTAGTTTTTGGAGAGATGGAGTCCCAGTATATTGCCCAGGCTGGTCTCAAACTCCTGACCTCAAGTGATCTTCCTGCCTCAGCCTCCAAAAGCACTGGGATTACAGGCATGAGCCACTACCCCCAGCCTGGAAAATGCAAATTTAAATCACAATGAAATTCTGCTCTGTACCACCTGCCTGGCAAAAACACAACATCTGTGACACTGAGTGTGGGTGAGGATTGTCACCCAGAATGACAATGGTGGGAGTGCTCACTGCTGCAGACGCTCTGGAAAGCAGTTTTCTAGATTGAAGAATCACATTTCCAACATCCCAGTAGTCCCACTGCTAGTGTTTCCCAAATGGATTCGTGGATTGTAAACATAAGTGGGCCGTGCCCAGCCTTTTTAAAGGATAACGCAGGAAAGAAATCGTCAGCATGTAAGCATTGGGCACCATGAGTCTTGTTTGGGCGACTTTCTGTGGCAGTCAAATGCTATGTGCTGAGTGCCAGAATAATAAGCCTTTCTTATGTGTGTCTCAGTTAAACATGCCTGAAAGCCACTGATCAAGAGAAACACCTTCCGTGTGCGCCCTGGAGACGCCACAAGAAGGCTCACACAGCCTGGCCCGCAAGCTATGGTGGAGATCCCGCAGGTCCCTGGCTGGGAGACTGGGTCCGAGGCACGACGGGTCAGGACCTGGAGCACGGTAAGAGGCCACCTGCCCCACAGCCAGCTGGGGTGGGGGGAGGATGGAAACACACAGCTGGCCCCAGGCCCCTCTGACTTTCCTGCCCCTTACCTCAGCAGGAGGGGAGGCCTGTGAGGACAGGATGCCTGGAGCTCTGGGCCTCCAGACAGCACCAGGCCCCGCCCACAGGTGTTTAGTGCTCAATGAACACCTGTAGAAGGAGGCGCTGCTCTATCCTGCCCACTTCCTGTCCTTTCTGCCCATCCCCCAGCCCCAGCCAAGGTCCTTAAGGACTCCTCTGTCACCCTCTTTGCCCCATGGAGTCTATGGTACTCACAGTGGTGTAGGTAGACTTTGCCTTCAGAAACTGGGGACTGAGTCTCCATGGTGGTCGAGGGCAGTGGCTGGGTGGTCGCGGCCTGCCGGGGAAGGCGAGGCCGGCCGGAAGGACAGGTGGCCTTGGGAGCACAGGGGATGCTCTGGTCTGAGGGCTCAGCCGTGGACAGCGCCCCCGGGGTTTCCCCTGCGCCCCAGCAACCTGCGGAGGACGCCAAGTGCATCAGAGGTGGAAGGCGAGGGCCGTGTCGGGAGGGTGGGGAGAGATCGCGAGGGACTCACCCGAGGGCCTCAGCAGCAGCAGCAGCAGCAGGACACCGGCGCGGGAGGGGGCAGACATCCGGGGGCACTGCCCGCAGGCCGGCCTCCGGCACCAGGGACCCATCCCGCGGTAGCAGCCGACCGCGACCGCGACTCTCTGGAAGGCGCTCCCGGTGTCGCCCCCACGATGGCGCCCCCGGTTGGCCGCATGCTGCGGCCTCTGGTGAGCTGGATGCGGAAGCTCCTAATGCCCCGCCTGCCTGGCGCCCCCCGGGGGCCACCCGCCGCGGCGCTCCTGGTGTTTGAGCCGCAAGGGCGCCCCTAGCGACAGCCCTTCCTTACGCCGCGTGGGCTGGGGTCCGGCCTGGACGGCCCGGCTGACCTCCCTCCTTGTCCCCTCCTTCTCACTCCGCTGGTCCAGGAAGCCTCCAAGAGTCCCTCAACTTAACCCCGGCCGATTCTCAGTCCTCCTCACCCCTGCAGCCCATTGCCCTGGACTGGCTCATGCTGTCACCCCTCCTGCAGTGAGATGAAGACCAAACCCTAGCGGTTGGCATCCAGGATCTCCAAGTGACCTCACCTTCCCTCCAGCCCTTCCAGTGGGGCTTTGCCCAAGGAACTGAAATGAAGCAGATAGATGTATTTGAAATAATGATTTTCAAAGACTGCTTCATTGTAAGCAACTACACCTCACCCTACCCCATTCAGCAGATGCCCTTGACCCCCCAAAATCCATCTGCTTAGGAAAGAGAGCGCAGGCGAAGGGGCCCTCCACAGAGGATCACCGGTGCTTCCCATGGGGCTGCTGTGGGATAAGGAGATCACTTCACATGTTACAATTTGGGAAACACATTAATGGCTCAGTGACACATGAGGATAATACATTTTAAAAGTTGTGTGGGGACTCAAAGCTGTTGGAAAACTCCAGACTAATAGAAGATAAGGTGAGCTAGCATTGTGGCGTGCGCCTATCCCAGCTACTCTCGGCTGCTCAGGAGGCTGAGGCAGGAGGATCACTTGAGCCCAGTAGTTTGAGTCCAGCCTGGGCAACATAGCACTCCCATCTCTAAAAAAACAAATAATTTTAAGATAAGGTGAAAGTTAAATTAAGCCAGGATATTCTAACATGTGTCAGGGCCTGTGGTCTTGGGATACACACTTGAGCTGGCCGCTCCAGGCTCCATTGAAAAGGCAGTAAATCACACCCTTCAGGTGCCCTGAGGGATAGGGGTGGCTGGCTGCTCTGCACCTGAGGCCCACTAGGTCTGAGGGGCCCCTCATTCCTCACACAGGGGCAGGGCTCTGTCTTCAGCCTGGCTAGCTCCGGCCAGCCTTGCTCGTGCTGCAGAGTCTAACAGAGGTCATCAAGGCAGCTCAGGAGCTCAGGGTACAGTCGCCTCACACATTCATCACCCAGGTAGGCACTCTGCCCTGTCCCCACATCATCTACCTCTGCCAGAGAGGGAAGAGGAGGTTCAGGCTCTGCAGATCCTCAGAGGGCTATGAGGGCTTGGGAGAGGCCCGTGGGTTCTGGAACACAGTCCATGAGTGTGTGATCTGGTCTGTGATCTGGCCATGGTGAGGTTCTTGGGAAGAGGCCAGCCCTCGCCGGAAGGCCTGAGGGAAAGTGTCTGTCACATACCCATGGGGAGGGCCATGCGGACCTGGGGGATTGCTGGAGTGCTGGGATGACTAAGCCGGGGCTGCAGTCCCACATTTGGAGGAAGAGGGAGGGGAACAGTCTCTCAGGGTCACACAACAAGCACAAGACAGACATGGTGTAACTATCGGGGGAGGCTCAGCTTAAGAGAACAGCCAATACTTCCTGGGGGTTAGGGAGGTTGTGAAGGGCTCCGGCCGAGGTCAAGAAGAAATCACTTGAGTGGCTCCAAGTTCAAAAGCATCTTCATTGAACAACAGAAAATAACAGCGGCTCTTGGACCCTCCCCCGGGGCCACTCTGCCCTGCCATCCTGTGCAACCTCTGGTCTGCACTTCAAAGGGCAGAACACAGGGGAGGGAGAAGCAGCCTCTGGGAGCAGCTGTCCTTAACACCACTCACAGGAGCACAGGGAGCCCAAGGAGGCCAGCAGAAGGTAGCCAGTGAGGATAACTGGGCTCAGGAAGGAAGGGCCAGCCCTACTGACGAACCTCAGGTCAGAAACCTGAGCCCTGATCCAGGAGGTGAAGTGGGCAGTGCTGGTGTAGATGCCCGGGAAGTGGCGCCGCCCGCAGCTAAAGCTCCAGCTCATCACTCCCACCTGAATCCAGGTCTTGTTCATTTGGCAGACGAGGGAGCTGCCAGAGTCAACCTGTAGAGAAAAGGAGGGGTGGCATAAGGATGGCAGCAGGAGGACCTCCCCGGCCTGAGCCTGCCGCTGAGGATGAGCTCTGTGGCACATAAGCTCCGCACTGGACCACGCCGGCCTCTGTCTTCCTTTTCCTGCTAACTCTGACCCTAAATCCCCGTCCCCTCCTCTGCCTTCCCCTTAAATCCTGGTGGGCCTCCAAGGCCGTTGCCCTTGGTCTTTTTCTTTCCTGAAATCCTGCTTGCGGAGTGAGCTGTTTGAAATGCAAACCAGCTCTCCTCTTTTTGTGCAAACATAGGTTTATAGAAAAGAAGATTGTTTAAAATGAATACATCAGCTGGGCGCGGTGGCTCACGCCTGTAATCCTAGCACTTTGGGAGGCCAAGGTGGGCAGATCACAAGGTGGGGAGATTGAGACTCTCCTGGCTAACACGGTGAAACCCCATCTCTACTAAAAATACAAAAAAAGAAAAAAAAATGTTAGCCAGGTGTGATGGCACACGCCCGTTGTCCCAGCTGAGGCTGAGGCAGGAGAATCGCTTGAATCTGGTAGGCGGAGGTTGCAGTGAGCAAAGATCGAGTCACTGCACTCCAGCCTGGGTGACAGAGCTATACTCTGTCTCAAAAAAAGAAAAAAAAAAAAAAAAAAAAGAATGGCATACATAAGAAAGTCATAGCTGTTATTTCTGGTGATAGTGGGTTACTTAACGATTTTTTAAAATATTCTTTACACTCTTCCGTAATGTCGGAAAATTTTATAAATCAGAAAAACAACTTATTGTATTTATTTTTAAAACACAATGAACACCAAGATTTACAGGACATAATCTAATGAAGAATGCATAAGGCTCTTAAAAAAAAAGTAATAAACTACCTAAAAACATAAGGGAAGACCTACATCAGTGTGCAGATATACTGTTGTTCAAAGACGAGACACCTTAAAACAATGTGAAAATGTCAGTTCTCACCATTTGGCTTCCTGCAGTATGGAAGACAAGATACCAACCTTATTGCTAAAGATAACTACAAATGTGAGATTTTAAAAAATAGATTATTTTAAATGCATGGGCAAACTAGCAAAAATATAGACTCTTCAGAGACGAAAACCTAAATGAGGGCTGGAATCTAGAGATGTCAGTGGAGCCCAGGCGATAGCTTTTGCCCCCATGGCCCTTTGTCAAACCCAGCAAATCTGAGCCTCAGTCTTCATAGCCTTGTTCATGGGCTTGAGAGACAAAAGACAAAACCCAGGGCCTCACTAAGGAGAGGAGCCTCAGAGCAGACATCCTGCAAAAAGTTATACCTTCAAAAAATGACCACACCCTCAGAGCGAGGGTGAACTCAAATCACTCACCCTCATATGAACTCACAACATGACTTCACACTGTCTGGGTGGTTCAAAAAACCTAAGCCAAGACCGGATGTGGTTTCAAGTGGTGCTGGGATATTCACAGCAGCAAAGGCATGGAATCAACCTAAATGCCTGTCAGTGACAGACTGGATAAAGAAAATGTGGCACATAAACACCATGGAATACTACGCAGCCATAAAAAGAGCATGATCCCTTGCAGGGACATGGATAGAGCTGGAGGCCATTATCCTTAGCAAACTAACACAGGAACAGAAAAACCAAACACCGCATGTTCTCACTTATAAGTGGGAGCTAAATGATGAGAACTCATAAACACAAAGACAGGAACAGACAGTGGAGTCCACTTGATGGGGGAAGGTAGGAGGTGGGAGAGAATCTAGAAAAACAACTAATAGGTACTAGGCTTAAAACTTGGGTGATGAAATAATCTGTACAACAGACCCCCATGACAGAAATGTACCTGTAACAAACCTTCGATTCTCACCATTTGGCTTCCTGCAGTATGGAAGGCAAGATACCAACCTTATTGCTAAAGATAACTACAAATGTGAGATTTTAAAAAATAGATTATTTTAAATGCATGGGCAAACTAGCAAAAATATAGACTCTTCAGAGACGAAAACCTAAATGAGGGCTGGAATATAGAGATGTCAGTGGAGCCCAGGCGACAGCTTTTGCCCCCAAGGCCATTTGTCAAACTGAGCAAATCTGAGCTTCAGTCTTCATAGCCTTGTACCCTTGTACCCCCGAACTTAAAAGTAAGTAAATAAGTAAAATGATGCTGGGTTGGTCATACCTGCAGGCACCTGGCAGAAGCAGACATAGATTCTGTCTGGAGAAACCTATCTTTGAAGCCACACCTCAGGGTAGTCCTACGGTTAACACTCTAAGGAACATGTCCTCACTCCTGAAAACACTGCACAGCACACAAGGAAGTGGAGGCGCCATGAGCAAATGTCACCCAGCAAAATAACTGGGGGCAGAGTCAGAGCACTTGAGGCTTGAGATGCAGGAATGACCACAGGGAAGCTTTCCCAGGTCTGTGAGGGACTCTTTCTTAGGTTTGCTGGTGGGTACATGGATGTTGCTAATGTTATTCTTTATTCTCCATATATGTTTTATAAATACCTTTTGTCTATTCAATATAGGGTAAAAGCATTAAAAATTAGAACAATGTCAATTCTTCAGGCATTAATCTCTCAAAGCAATTCCACTTAAAACGCTAGCAGGATTTTCTCAGGAACTTGACAACTGATTCTAAAGTTGATATTGAAGGATAATAATCCTTAAATTCTAGAATGGTTTTGAGAAAGGAAAAGACAGGTTGGGCGCAGATTTGATCTACCAGATAGTTACACATATTTTAAAGCTATGATAAGAAAGCTATAATTATAGAAATAGTGGGGTACTGGCATAGAAACAAAAAAATAGTCCAGTGGGGGCAATGCAGAACCAGTAACCTGATGCCTACCCGGAAGGACACCTGACACACATTACACAAAGCATCAAGTCTGCAGGAAATGAGGGGTCTGTAGCAGTCGGCGGCGACATTGGCTCACCAGACAGAGAAGAACGAAGTTGCACCCTACCATAACAAAGTTTCGGAGGAATGAAAACTCCGAATGTGAAAAGTAAGAATGATAAAGCTAATTAAAACAAACAAGACCAGCACACAGTGGCCCACACTGTAGTCCCAACCTCTGGGAGGCCAAAGTGGGAGGATCACTCGAGCCCAGGAGTTCCAGACCAGCCTGGTCAACATAATGAGACCCTGTCTTCACAAAAAATAAGATTAGCCAGGCACGGTGGCACACACCGTAGTCCCAGCCACTCTGGAGGCTAAGGCGGGAGGATCACTTGAGCACAGGATTTCCAGGCTGTAGTGAGCCATAATCATGAAGTCACTGCACTCCAGCCTGGGCAACAGAGCCAGACCCTGTCTCTAAAATGAAAAATAAAACCTAAACCAAAATCATATAGGACCATGTTTTTATGACTTGGGATGATGTATACTTTTAAAAATAAGATTCTGCTGGATGCAGTGGCTCACACAGGTAATCCCAGGACTTTGGGAGGCTGAGGTGGGAGGATCGCTTGAGCCCAGGAGGTTGAGATTGCAGTGAGCCATACCGTGCCACTGCACTCCAGCCTGGGTAACAGAGAGCAAGACTGTCTCAAAAAACAAAAACAAAACTCACAAGCCTGAAGAAACGTGTTAGGCTTGATTGCATCAAAACTAAGGTTATCTGTTCAGTAAAGGATACCAGATCTCACTGAAGACAGATGATGAATTAAGATAGGGCATTGTCTCTGTCTAAAACCAACCAGAGGTCAATATTTAAAATATCTAAGGAGCTCTTGGAAATAACAAGCAGAGCGCGTTGGGGGATGTCAGGACTCCATGGCCTTACCATGAAGGATGACACCATGGAGATGACACCAGGCCAGCTTCCTGACCTCCTGGCAGGGCAGGGCACCTCATCCCTAGGACGACCAGAGATTGGGGGCTCGGGGGGTTCTGAAGTGAAGTTTAAATTTAAATAGAAACTTTTAATGGGACAAGGCATTTAATAACTGAAAATGACTAAAAATTATGAACTCTGCCCGAAATGATGTTTGGGGAAGGAAGGAAAATTTGACATAGGATATATGGGGCAATTATTTGAAAGAATAAAACCATTTAACCTGAATATCTTAACCAATTCAGATGCCTCAGTAAACAATTACAGGATGAAATAGGCAGCACAATATAATTTATACCAACTAAAACACACGCAGCAACACTGTGTATTTTTCAAAGATACAGATACCTTTAATTACACATAGTATTATTATTTTTGAGATGGAGTCTTGCTCTGTCGCCCAGGCTGAAGTGCAATAATGCAATCTTGGCTCACTACAACCTCTGACTCCCGGGTTCAAGTGATTCTCCTGTCTCAGCCTCCTAAGTAACTGGGACTACAGGTGTGCACCACCAAGCCCAGCTAATTTTTGTATTTTTAGTAGAGACAGGGTTTCACCATGTTGATCAGGCTGGTCTTGAACTCCTGACCTCAGGTGATCTGCCCACCTTGGCCTCCCAAAGTGCTGCAATTACAGGCGTGAGCCACCATGCCCGGCCTAATTACACATATTAGACAGATATGAGTTGGTATTCTTTTGAGGGCAGGGCAAATGGAAGATGAAGGAGAAAATCAAGCCAGTGAGAATCACACTAGCAATGATATGTGAGGACCCCTGCCTGAGATAGGACTGACGGGACTCTCGGGGCCCAGAGAAAGTGAGAACACGAGAGAAGAAGAGGAGAGAAAGAGATCCACTGCAGGTAAGCATTCTCTCACCACAGTGAAATAAAACCAGAGTTCAGTAACAAAATGTGAGTCACTCCATCAATGGGAAAAAATAACTTTCAAAACGTTAACATAAAAACAACTAAAATCTATAATTAGAATGTTGAGTAATAAGAATATCACATATTGCACAGGACGTGGGCCTAAACACTGCACATAGAATGTCCTGATCTAAAGTACTTTTAATACCAAACAAGAGAGAATAAAAATAAATTATTTGTTATTATCATCAATTATCACTGTACATTCAGCTCAAGACACTTGCAAAGGAATTAAAGACAAAAAGAGGATAATTCATGTGTTAGGAAGCATAAAAATCATAGACTTGAGAAATAAAAATCAATAGCTTATTCTTAAAAAACAACAAGGCTGGGCATGGTGGCTCACGCCTGTAATCCCAGCACTTTGGGAGACAGGAGGATTACTTGAGCTCAGGAGTTTGAGACCAGTCTGGGCAACACAGTGAAATGCTGTCTCAAAACCAATGTTGAATAGAAGGTGCAAGCGGCAGGTGGCAGAAGTGTTCATTCTGTGCTTGCAGAATGAAAGTCATTTATGCAAAACGGGTTCTGCCAGCACGTGGCCCACATCTGAGCATGTAGCTGATGTTCAGAAGTAGTAAATCAGGCCAGGCGAGGTGGCTCACGCCTGTAATCCCAGCACTTTGGGGAGCTGAGGGAAGAGGATCACAAGGTCAGGAGATTGAGACCATCCTGGCCAACATGGTAAAACCCCATCTCTACTAAAATACAGAAAATTAGCCAAGGTGTGGTGGCGTGTGCCTGTAGTCCCAGCTACTCAGGAGGCTGAGGCAGGGGAATTGCTTAAACCTGAGAGGCAGAGGTTGCAGTGAGACAAGACTGCACCACTGCATTCCAGCCTGGGCGACAGAGTGAGACTTCGTCTCAAAAAGAAAAAAAGTGGTAAAGGACTGCCATCGCTACCTTCATTGTGGACAGGGACAAGAGTATTTCGCCCTTATTTTACAGGCTGAATGGAAGCCCGGGAGAAGGAGACTTTCTCTTCTTTTCTCATTTTACTTTAAGTTCTGGGATACACGTGCAGAATGTGCAGGTTTGTTATACAGGTACAGTGTGCCATGGTGGTTTGCTGCACCTCTCAACCCATCATCTAGGCGTTAAGGCCTGCATGCATTAGGTATTTGTCCTAATGCTCTCCCTCTCCTTACCCCCAACCCCCCCACCAACAGGCCCTGTTGTGCAATGTTCCCCTCCCTGTGTCCATGTGTTCCCATTTCTCAACTCCCACTTATGACTGAGAACATGCAGTGGTTAGGTTTTCTGTTCCTGTGTTAGTTTGCTGAAGATAATGGCTTCCAGCTTTATCCACATCCCTGCAAAGGACACAATCTCATTCTTTTTATGGTTGCATAGTATTCCATGGTGTATATGTGCTACATTTTCTTTATCCAGTCTATCATTGATTGGCATTTGGGTTGGTTCTATGTCTTTGCTATTGTAAACAGTGTTGCAATAAACATACGTGTGCATGTGTCTTTATAGTAGAATGATTTATATTCCTTTGGGTACATACCCAGTAATGGGATTGTGGGTCAAATGGTATTTTAAAAGTCAAGAAACAGTAGATACTGGCGAGGCTGTGGAGAAACAGGACCGCTTTTACACTGTTGGTGAGAATGTAAATTGGTTCAACCATTATGGAAGACAGTGTGGCGATTCCTCAAGGATCTAGAACCAGGAGATTTTCATAAGGTCTCCCAGTGCTGTGTGAAAAGAAATGCATGAATTCTGAAAGTCTTCTCCTGCCCCCGTCCACACGCTCTGCACCTGACAAGCATCCAAGCCCCATTCGGGGCTGGCACACAGCACATCATTCCCGATGAAGCTCTTCTTGTCCTTCAAGAAGAGGAATTGGTACCGGTGTTGGCAGATGTCATTGTTCACGATCCTGACAGCCACCTCCTGAAGACTGTAGGGGGTACTTGGGGTCACTGAGGAGACAGAGAGTTGACCTTGTCATCCCCTCAGCTTTTTGACACGTCCCCATCACAGAGCTGTCCACATTTGCTAAGGTAGGAGGGAGAGCTATTTCCTGGGATGGTGATTTGATAAAGGTCCCAGCCCGGAGCCTAACTTTTGAAAAAGCCCCAGCTCATTAAAAAAGATGATGCAAAAGTGTCCCAAGGGGCTTGGAGTGATATCCAGGCACCAAATGACAAGGAGGACAAGAGGAGATTTCTCCAGTAATTCAGGTTCTATGAGGGTGAAGAGCTGAGCTCTGCCCCTTGGCCACCAGCAAGGTGGCAAGACCCTAGAGTCCCAAGATGTCACCCCCTGGAAAGCAGGCCCCCACAAAGCCTCCGAGATCCTAGAACCCAAGGAGAGCACCAACAGGGACCAGGCCTCCAGGAATTTGGGGATACTTCAGGATAACCAGCAACAACAGTTAGATAGAGAAGCCTCAGTACCTCAGTATGTCCTGAGATCATGGCCCTCGTGCCATTAATGGGAACCCCATAAATAACGAAGAATTCACTTCCTGCCATGCTGCAAGGCGAGCACTTGGCATTTCACTTCACTTAACTTTGGGAACCGAGGTCTATGCAGGCCACATGTGTCTTTTACACTAGAGCACTGGGGTATATCTTTGTATCAAGAGGTCAGGAAATTTTGCTGACTGAGTGAATGAGTGAATAAAGGAATGAATGAAGGAGCCTGTGATGGGGTTGTATTCCAAGGAGGAAAGCGTCTTGTAACCTCTGCCAGCCTTCACTCACCTTTTTGTCCTGTATTTCCCCAGCCAATTACCCAGCACATGCTTCCAATGGATGACCTGAACTTGACGTTGGGGAGGCAGACAGGCTGGATGAGGGGAGTCCAGGAGACGAAGTTCTTGAGCTTCAGGAGGGCAATGTTCTGAGACATGAAATTGTTGAAATCCTCATGAATCATGATGTGAGTGACCAGGAGCTGAGTGCCATTTTCTGGGAGTTGACGGACTCCCACCATCACAGAGTACTGGCTGGGGTCCTTGGATCTACAGGACCATGGGTAGGAGTCAGGTCACCAATGGTAAGTCCATGGGTAAGGGAGGAGATGGGTCCTGAGCTCAGGACCACCCAGCCAGGCCCCCTGCTCCCAGATCCCTAGATTCACCAGGGACCCCAAGGCCAGAAAGCAAAGTCCCCAGCCCCCGATGACTGACCTCTGAAAGCAGTGTGCAGCCGTGAGGACCCACCGGTGGTGGATGAGGGAGCCGCTGCAGATGTACGTGCCCAGTAACAAGATGCTCACCTGCCACGGCCACTTGCCTACCTCTACCAGCTTCCCCTTCACCATCCTGCAGGATATGTTGGTCTGACCGCAGCCCCGGACCCAGGGCCCTGAGGAAAAAGGCTCTCAGGCAGCAAAGGGCAGCCCTCACACCCCTGGACACAGCAGACTTGAGGCAGAGAGAGCCGCCTTCCAGCCCAGCCCTGTCATAAGCAGCCACTAACACATGCACAAGTGGGAAGGGGCTTTTCCTACTGCCTCAAAACTGGCAAATGGCCAGGCATTGTGGCTCACACCTGTAATCCCAGCACTTTGGGAGGCCGAGGTGGGTGGAGCACTTGAGGTCAGGAGTTCGACACCAGCCTAGCCAACATGGTGAAACCTTGTCTCTACTAAAAATGCAAAAAATTAGCCAGGCATGGTGGCACGTGCCTGTAATCCCAGCTACTCAAGAGGCTGAGGCAGGAGAATTACTTGAACCTGGGAGGCGGAGGTTGCAGTGAGCCGAGATCATGCTACTGCACTCAGGCCTGAGTGAAAAAGCCAGACTCTGTCTCAAAAAAAAAAAAACAAAACAAAAAAAAAAAAAAAAACCTGGCAACCAAAGGCCAGGGGCAGCAGGTGCCCCACATTCTACAGTCCCCAAGCAGTGAGAACAGCCAACTCGTGGGCTTGTTATAAGCCATCACCCAGGACTCATCACTGCCCATAGTTTACACAAACAGGTGGTTGGGGGAGAGAGGCAGAAGAGAGAATAATCACAGGGGTGAGTTGTCAGCCAGAGGATAGGTGATGGGGCACAAGTGGGCCAGGCTACCTGTCCCTAAAGAACAGTAGTGTCACATTGCATTGCTCCAGGGGCCACCCTGATACAGACCATGCCCTTGGAGGTGTGGTTCTTGTGACCCTGTAAGAAAGTGAGTAGAGATGAGTGTCCATTCCCTCCTTGACTCTCACTGGCCCCAGCAACAGGGGTGAGAGGAGAGCAGGCTGCACTGAACCAGATGTGAGATGGAGATTTTAAATTGGCCCAGTCTGGACTGGTAATGCACAAACAATAGGCAAGGAAGAAAGTCACACCAGTAATCACAGAGCTTTGGAAGGCCCAGAAGGGAGGATGGCTTAAGGCCAGGAGTTCAAGACCAGCCTGAGCAACATGGCGAGATCTTGTCTCTACAAAAGCAAAATTAATCAGGTGCAGTGGCTACTCAGGAGACTGAGGTGGGAGGATCACTTGAACCTAAGAGTTTGAGGCTACAGTAAGCTAGGATCGCACCCTGGATTCCAGCCTGGGTAACAGAGCAAGATCCTGTCTCTAAAAAAACAAACAATCTTTTCTTTAAACTATGGAATGCTTCACGAAATTTACATGTCATCCTCTTTCACCCCCAAAAAGTCTACTGAACACAGGTACTGAATTCTGGCTCCAGCATTCGCAAACCACTAAAGCTCCATGAGCCTCAGTTTCCCACTGTGAAATGGGGATGCTGGTGATGCTCGCCACAAGGGTGTTGTGACCTCACTCAGTCTCAGCCACGCTGATAGACAGTGGGCACTCAACCTCACTTCCTCATCATCGCAAGATGGGTTTCCTATGACTGTGCCTCCCAAACAAGCTCATTCATTCCATGGATGTTAGTCTGTTCCTTCTTTTTTTTTTTTTTTTTTTTTTGAGATGGAGTCTCAATTTGTCACCCAGGCTAAAGAGCAGTGGTGTAATCTCAGCCCACTGCAACCTCCACTTCCCAGGTTCAAGCTATTCTCATGCCTCAGCCTCCTAAGTAGCTAAGATTACAAATGTGTAACACCATGCGCAGATAATTTTTGTATTTTTAGTAGAGACAGGGTTTTGCCATGTTGTCCAGGCTAGTCTCAAACTGCTGGCCTCAAGTGATCTGCTCTCCTTGGCCTCCCACAGTGCTGGGATTACAGGCATGAGCCATTGCACCTGCTGTGTTCCCCCATTTTTAATAAGGCTCTTCTCTCCTGTGTTCATGGCCACCCTGGAAATTGGAACTGCCCTGGCGCCATTTGGGCCCCCAGTCTGCTGAGGATGTACCACCCATCAGGACATGGACACACGGAGGCCCTTCAGGCATGAGGACAGCCCGACACAGGCACCCTGGCAAACAGACTCCTCTAGCTTCCGCCCCATGACCCTGAAGCCCTACCTTCAATATACGGCTGATGATCTAATCTGGCAGAAGGAAGTGGAGATGTAAGAAGGCCTTGAAGATCCCCCGACCCACAGGCCATGGCAAGCAGGTATCTAGTCCTCACTGCTCCTTCTAATCGGTTGTGGAGGCAGAGGGGGTGGGGCACCTCCACCGTGCCAAGATTCTAGAACACATGGTTTGTGTGTTCAGGATTGTGGGGAGTAGGCGTCTGCCCCAGGTTGGGGGTCTATCTGGCTGTGGCAGTTGCGGGACTCTTTGAAGGAGACAGTGTGGTCATGGCAAGGCCCTGCCAGGGCCACAAGGTGATGGTGCTGTTGGGAACCTCCCTGGAGCGGTATTCCTGGTGCCCAGCCTGTGACACTGCCTCCTGGGCCCAGCTCTCTGCAGTGTACCCGATGCCCAGCCTTGGCCTTGTTGGTGCCCAGTGTGCAGTCCTGAGCCTATGACAGTACAACGTGTCTGGCTAGTGACAGGGCCTGGTGCCTGGACCATGAAGCGCCCTAGTGCCCAGCCCAGGCCCCTTCATGAAGCCCCTCTGATACCCCATGGAGGTGTGGGAACTGAGGCACTGAGGGGAGATAACTAGTTCTTGTAGTGTGTGATGTGATTAAGGTGGAATTGGAGATTTCTTTTTTCCCTCACGGTCTGTATTTTCTTTACTTTTCTTCTTCTCTTTTTTTCTTTTTCTTTTTTTTTCAGAGACAGGGTCTCACTCTGTCACCATGCTAGAGTGTGATGGTGCGATCATAGCTCACTGCAGCCTCCACCTCCTAGGCTCAAGCAATTCTCCTACCTCAGCCTCCCGAGTAGCTGGGACCACTGGTGTGCGCCACCGTGCCTGGCTAATTTATTTTTTATTTTTTTAGAGACAAGGTCTCAAGCACCAGGCCTCAAGCAATTCTCCCCCATGGGCCTCCCAAAGTGCTGGGATTACAGGCATGAGCCACTGCGCTTGGCCCAGGGTCTGTATTTTCAAGGGAAGAGCTCTTGGGTTGAGGAAATCTAGGTATGTTTAGCCTGGGAAGGTGGCTTCCTAAGAGGAAGCAGCTTGCAGACTTGGGTCTTCATGAATCAGCAGAATGAATGACATCTGGGGACACCTCGCCACCACTCCCCTGAGGTCTCCCCTCCCAAGGATCCCAGGCTCCTCACACTGTCCCTGCAGGAAGCTCCTGCTCCGCCCTGTGCCAGTGCTGCCAAGGTTGTTCACACACTGCTGGGGAGCTAAACTGACACGGCCACTGGAAACAATGTTTGGAATCATTTAGCAGAGCAGAAGGTGTGCCTGCCCCACAACCCACAGTTCCACTTCTGGCTTTGTGCCCTAGCAGGACAGGTGCAGGAGACTGTTCACTAGCTGCACTGTTGGGAAGAGCCCCAGCTGGAAACTACCCAGCCGCCATCCAAGATGCAGCAGCTATGCGGAGTCCTCAGCCGTGGTGAGAATGGACAAGCTGCTGCTACCCCTAGCCAGATGGTGACGCTCATCACCCTATCCTGAGCGAAAGAAGTCAGATACAAAAGGGTACACTGTATGAAATTCAGTGTATGAATGTATAGACTGTATGAAATTCAAAACAGGCAAAACAAACTAATTTTAGAGCTATATGGTAGAAAATCAAGGAAATTATTATCTGTTCAATCAGATTCACTTAGGAGGAAAGACAGAGGGAAGGAGAGAGAAAGAAAAGAGAAACTTCAGAGAAGAGAAACGCTACCTACTCTTCTGCCTTTGTGGAAAATAATTATTTGGGGGAAACAACCAATCAATAAAACAAAATAGGATAACTGAATAAAGATCAGGCATATCTGTTATCACTACCAACGTGAATGCATGTAATTTTACTTTTAAAAGGAAAAGATCCTCGTGTTGGATAGAAAAAAAACCCATTCACATACTACAATTAGACACACACCAAAAACCCATTCACATACTACTAATTAGACACACACCAAAACCCATTTACATACTACTAATCAGACATGCACCAATAACAAATTGGCATAAATAAGGTGAAAGTAAAAAGATGTGGCTGGGCTTGGTGGTGCACACCTGCAATCCCAGAACTTTGGGAGGATGAGATGGGCGAATGTCTTGAGCCCAGGAGTTCAAGACCAGCCTAGGCAACATAGTGAGACCTTGTCTCTACAAAAAATTAAAAAAAAATTAGCCAGGTGTGGCATGCACCTATGGTCCCAGCTACCCAGGAGGCTGAGATTGTGGTGAGCTGAGATCATGCCACTGCACTCCTGACTGGGCAACATAGTGAGACCCTGTCTCAAAAAGTAATAATTTTAAAAATTAAAATTAAATTTTTAAAAGGGCAAAAATGGCAGGGCATGGTGGCTCATGCCTGTAATCCCAGCACTTTAAGAGGCCAAGGTGGGTGGATCACAGGGTCAGGAGTTTGAGACCAGCCTGGCCAATATGGTGAAACCCCATCTCTACTAAAAATACAAAAAATAGCCAGGTGTGGTGGCGAATGCCTGTAGTCTCAGCTACTCAAGAGGCTGAGGTAGGAGATTGCGCCACTGCACTCCAGCCTGGATGACAGAGCAAGATTCTGTCTCATAAAAAAAAAAAAAAAAAGATGGGCAAAAATATATTAAGTATATGCAAGCAAAAATAGCAATGGTAATGTTAATATCCCTAAAATGATTCAAGACAAATGATTTAAGCAGAAAAAGAAAGCTATTTGTATTGAAAAAAGACACAAATTACAAAAGTAACATCATAGAGTTCTGTCCACCAGTAAAATAACGTCAAACATATGAAACAAAATCAATCAGCAATATATGAGAAACTGGAAAATCTCACTTATAGTGGGAGAGTCTTCTCCAACTCACTCTGTCTTTGAGAGATGGAATATCTATATAACCACTAATAAAAGAATAGTAATAATTAGAGCAATGCATTATTTAAAACCTTATTGGGTGTGCCCAAGGCAAATTCATAACCTTAAAGGTGTTTATTATTAAATAACAGAGAATGAAAATAAAGGACCTAAATACTCAAATCAAAAAACTATAAAAGGTAGAAAATAAACCAGAAGAAAATCTGAAGTAAAAGAAGTACAAAATATAAAATTGTACCTTAATCACTTAGAAGAACAGCCAAAATTAAGAATGAACTCTGATCTGGATCTTTGAAAAAACAAGCAATGCTACGTAGGACAAAAGGCATGTTTTACATTGATAGGGTGTAACACACTAAGATAATACAGCAGACATGAACCCTGTATTCCTAGCAACACAGCTTTGAAACATAGAAAGCAAGCATTGTGCAAGAAGAAATAGACAAATTCTTAATTTCTGCGTAAACTTCTTAGAAATCAACAAATTATGTAGCCGTAAAATACATCTGGTGTTGAGATGATTTGAATAACACAATCAATAAACCTGATCCAATCAGTTACGGCTCCAACTTTGTTCTAAAACACACCTTCTCTCTTTTTTTTAACTTTTATTTTAGGTTCAGGAGTACATGTGCAGGTTTGTTAGATAGGTAAACTCATGTCATGGGGGTTTGTTGTACAGATCATTTCATCACACAGGTACTATGCCTAGTATCCAATAGTTATTTTTTCTGCTCCTCTCCCTCCTCCCTTGGATCACTAAAACCAAGGAGGCTCCAGGAACAATGGTGCTGTTGTTCCCCTCCATGTGTCCATGTGTTCTCATCATCTAGCTCCCACTTTTAAGTGAGAACATGTGGTATTTGGTTTTCTGTTCCTGCATTAGTTTGCTAAGGATAATGGTCTCCAGCTCCATCCTTTTTCCCAAAAAAGACATAATCTCATTCTGCTTTATGGCTGCATGGTATTCCATGGTGTATATGTAACACATTTTCTTTATCCAGTGTCACTGATGGGCTTTTAGGACTATTCCATGTCTCGGCTACTATGAATAGTGCTGCAATGACATTTGTGAAAACACACACTTTCATTTCAGACGCACATGTAACACTCACTAAAACTGACCAAATACTAAGCCACATACAAAACCTCAAAAAAATTTAAAAATGCGGAAATAATTAAATTCATATACAGTCATGCTCACTTAATGACAGGGAAACAGTGTGAGAAATGCATTGTTAGGCAATTTAATCACTATGCGAACGTAAGAGTGTACTTACACACACCTAGATGGTAAATATATATTTTTATGTATATGTATTTTTTCATCAGGAAAACCAAATGTCCCCATACCATTACTGAACATCTGTCATTTCCCTTACTTGTCTGCAGTGCCACTATCAAGTGCCACATATCAGGTTTCCATATATGTTCCTTTATAATCTTATGGACCACTCTTGTATATGCAATCTGTAATTGACTGAAATGTCATTATGTGGCACATGACTGCAGTGATACAGAGAAAAAGAAGCCCTCACTCCTCCCCAAAACTACCCATTGGGAAAATAAATAACATGCTTCTATATAACTCTTGGGTTAAATAATAAATACAGTGAAATTATAAACAATACAGAAATGAATGACAATGAGGCCAGTACATACCAAATCCTGTGAAATATAGCCAAAGTGGGACTCAGAGGAAAATTTATGGAATTAACTGAAAATATTGGAACACAAGGAAGTCTAAAATAATGAACTAAGCATACTACTCAAGAGTTTACAAAAAGAACAATAAAATAATCACATGGAGATATCCACTCCTTGTTTTAGTATATTTTATCCTACACTTTTTCTTTAAAAAATCTTTTTTATCTTTTTTAAGAAAAAAAAAAATGTAGAAGAAAGTATACCAGAACGAGAAGTGGATATCTCCATGTGGTGGGACTCCAGGGGAAGTTTTCTTTCTTTAGGCTTGGTTGTGTTTTCTAATTTTATATAACAAACATGTATCACTTTTATAATCCCTTTAAAAAAAAAAAAAAGGAATGCTGCTTTTGGAGTACCATCGTGAGTCACTCCTCCTATAGCCTAAAAGCCTGCATGTTTCAGCTGTTCCCTTAACAGCATGCCCACTTTACAGACAAGGAAACTGAGGCCACAGCCCAGGCCCTGTCCCTAAGCCCCAGCACTAATGATACAGCAAAAAGTGTCACTCCCCACTCCAGGGAAGCTCCTGGCAGACTTAATTCCAGGAAGCTCTGCCCTCCCACCCATGGCCAACCCCCAGGACTACCCAAGAAAAGAGAAAAGAGTTAGCTCAAGTTTACACATGTTTAATCCCTGCTCTCCTGGTCTGAGATTCCAGAATCTTTCTAGGCCACACTTCTCTGCTCCTGCTCACGCAAAGCCTAGTCATCCACCACAGTTCTCTTCACTGGCATGCCAAAGCCAGACCCATTCTCCCAGGGGTTACTCTTCCCCACCCTGACTCTTGTTGCAGGTGGACACATGACCTTGGTCAAACCTCCATCTGGCCCCATTCAGCAGGGTGAGGCAGGAGGAGGAAGGGGTAGGGAGGTCAGGAGCCCATCCGGGGCTGCAGCAGCCAGCAGAGGAATAGGAGGCAGGCAGAGGCGCAGGGTCCTGAGAAGGCTCCATTGCTTATTTGTTTCTTGATCCATTTGGTGTATTTGGTGACGCGGGTGTACACACCTGGATTCTGTGCCTTTGCGCAGGCCTTTTCCCAGGACAACACCCCAGCCAGAATCCATCCACCCTCGACTTCACAAGCCAATGGCCCCCCAGAATCCCCCTAGACAAAAAGAGAGGAGTGATGGAGGCTGCAGGGCCCTGAGGACCCATGCCCACCCTCTGAGCTCTGCTAGGAGGGCTTTCACTTCTCCAGGACCTCTTTTGGCTTGGGGTCCTCTTTTGGCTCCTCAGCTGGGACCGGTACCTCAGAATCAGGGCCAAAGTCAGCATCACAGGGGAAGGAAAGCAAGAGCAGAGCACAGCTGGGCGATGGTAACGGAGGGAGGCTGGGCCAACCCTGCCCCAGGGAACTGCCCCCACCCGGGAGTGGCTCCCGACAGAAGTGGAGCTACCAGAACCTCCCAGAAACTCACATAGCATAAGTTTTCTCCATAATTGGTGGCACAGATCATGTCCCCCAGGACAAGGGGGATGACTGGGGGGAAGAGGGACTTCTTGTGGTAATGCTGGTCACATCTCTTGTTGTCCATGATAAACACCTCAGCCTCCTGCAGCTCTGGGGTCAGTGTGGAGTTGGCTGTGGAGCCGAGCAGGGTGAGCACTGACCTCTCACTCTACCCAGCCCTGACCTCTGTCCAGGGTCTGGTCCCCTCCACCCTGGAGACTCAGCCCAGCCACCCCCTGTCACACCTCCAAGCCCTCCCCTCCTGCAGCGGCCCCTCCCGCTGCAGTGCAGGACTTGTCTGAGAAGCTCCCCTGCCCTCAAAGGCTCTGAGTCCAGGCCAGCTTGGGAAGCTTCTACTTCTGAACCAAGCCAGCCGTAATTCAAGTCTCAGTGCAGCTGCTTCCAAGCTGAGGCCCAGGCCAGCACTGCTTCCCTGCAGACTCTGAGCTCTGCTGGCTGGGTGCTCCCTCCACCTTCATTAACACTGGCCCCTACTCCAGGGCCTCCAGGCAGTCCCTCTGCCCAGAGCTCATTCTGGACCCTCCCAGCCACATCTCAAGACCGCCTGACAAGACCTTGGCCTCATTCTCCTCAGCCCCTGTGCCCACATCCACATCCAATCATGACTGCCTCCAGGCAGGGCAGGCATTTCTAGTGCCAAGGGCTGGGTGCTGGCACCCGAAGTGTGTCAAGTGAATGAATGAGTGAGTGAGTGGATTTCCGGATGCCCAGCTCTGAGCTTCTGTAAGACACAGATGATCATGCCCAGCCCAGGCACTACCAGGCCTGAATGAGGTGTCCACATAAACAGTGACCATGGTCACCACATGAAGAGTGGTCCTAACACATTCAGAGAACCAGGTCCAGCAGGAAGCGCTCCAGAAGGAAAGGAGTGTGCTCTTGGTGGTACAGCACCCACCCCCCCATCCCATCCTGCTCACCTGAAAAGCGTTGCTTAACCTGGCTCCAGCCAGTCACCCAACACTGTGTCCCAACCTTCAGGTTGAAGTTGGGCTCCGGGAGGCAGATGGGCTGCACGTACTCACTGAAGGTGACAGGTGTTTGAAGGTGGACAAGGGCAATGTCACCCACGATGAAGGTCCGGCCGCGGTACTTGGGGTGCATAATGATGTCCCTCACAGGGACCCGGAGGGCCCTGCTGAAGTTCATGGGCTGCAACTTGGAGGTGCCGAGCACCACTGAGTACTCTTCGGTGCTGTGGGAGACAGAAAGCCCCAGCTGGTAGGTTTCAGCTCCCAAGCAGAAACACGCTCCTACCTCCCTGTGGCCCTTCCCCCTTAGCAGGAGTCCTGCCTCCACCCATCTGCCTAATCTAGCCTGAGGGCCCTGAAGGTCAGCGAGCTGACTGCCTCCTCATTCATAGTTCAGATGGATTCAAGGTGGCCTGGTCTGTGTGTTATGCGTGCAGGTGTGGAAGTGTTGGGTGTACACATATGTGTGTACACATATGTTCTCGTGCATGATGAGGTAGGGAGCATGTTCTGGGTTTTCCTGTGGCTCAGCTTAGGGTGCAGTCGTTGTTGCTTGGGGCTCCTGCCCCAACTCAGTCCCTGGCCCCCTAGGAGACCCCAAGCACAACTCTCCCCTATCCCAGATGCCTTTTCTACTCTCTCCCTCCCTCCCACATTGTTTCACTGGGGAAATTAGGAAGCTGGGCTGGGCCCATGGTAGCTCGGGGTCTCCAGGCCCTGGACACATGAGCCACACTCACCCTTGGATGCAGTGGGCCGCCGTCACCACCCAGCTGGGGTCAATGAGGGCCCCTCCACATACGTGCTGATTTTCCATCCGGAGGCTCACCTCCCAGGGCCAATGGTGGGTCATTTCCAAATCTTCCGACCACCAGGGCTTACCACAAACTTCAGGAAGAAGTGTGCCAGGGAGAGACCGGGACCACATAGAGGAGGATGAGAATGACTGAGACGGACACATCCTACAGGGCCAATTTGCACAAAGCTGTAAACTCAGGGCCTCTTCCCATTTCAGAGATGCGGAGAGTGAGGGTGAGAGAAGGGCAGTGGCCTGCCCAAAGGCACTGAGCTTGACAGAAAGTGACAATGACAGAGGTAAAAAGCATCAAGGCAGAGACATGGAGAGAGAGAGAGATTCTGAGAGTCACAGGGAGCCTTCAACCCAGAACCTCAAAACAAAGGCAAGCAGAGAAGGAGCTCCAAGGCAAAAAATGCATTTTCTTGTGTTTGGGGAAGTTCCTTGGCCACTTCTGAAAAGCCATAATGCTTGTTATACCTCTTAGATGCAGAAGGCCTCTGTCCCCGCACTGCTCAGAGTCAAGAAAAACTCCTGACTTCTGTGTCATAAGTTTTCACATTGAACATTCAAAGTGCCAGCAGGGAGACCCCAGTGGCCCCTCACTCACAGGCCACACACTCAGTGTGCACGCAGTTCCATCAGTCAAGTTTTAGGCTTGTATGAATGTGTGAAGAAACACAGATCCAAGCATTCTAAATAAAACATTAGCTAACACTGTATTTTTAAAACAATGCACTGTGATGATTAAGGATTGGCCCAGGAATGCAAGGGTGGTCCCACACTGTTAGAACTCTCAGTGGATTCTCCACAAAAAGGTTCTAAGAATCTGAAGAGAAAAAGACCATGTGTTTTTCTCCATGGCCACAAAAAAAGGCATTTGAAAAATGTAACACATATTTATGTCTTACAAAAAAAAAAAAAAAAAAAACCCTCTTACTTAAATTAGAAATAGGAGGAAAATCCTTAACTTTACAAAAGTTGGATATATCCCAAACCTACAGCAAACATCATACAACACTAAAGAACAGGCAGAAAAGAACCTATCCCACCAGACGTCAGGAATGAGGACGCTTTGTGGGAGGAGGGCAGAGGAAATCAGTGAGAGAACGAGACAAGGCTGCTGGGTGCTGGTATTAGCCTACTTTTTTTTTTTTGAGACAAGGTCTCGCTCTGTCACGCAGGCTGCAGTGCAGTGTCACAGCTCACTGCAGCCTTGGCCTCAGGCTCAAGCAATCCTCTCACCTCAGCCTCCCAAGTCACTGGGACTATAGGCACTTGCCACCACATCTAATTTTTTTTCTAATTTTTTATTGAGACAGTCTTGCTATGCTGCCAGGACTGGTCTAGAACCACAGGCTCAGGCAATCCTCCCATCTCAGCCTCTCTAAGCACTTATTCTACTGTTTAACCTGAGTAGTGATGACATAAGTGTGCCTACTGTGTGACAATTCCTTCAACTAGACCTTCATAATTTGTGTACTTTTTTGGAATGCATATAATACTTCAATAAAACAATTTCCTTTTAAAGTCAATAACATCTTTCTATCCCAGCACAACCAACTAGAAAATATACTCAAGTAAGAAACATTTTCAACAGCAAAAAAAAATGGTAAAGTTCATAGGAATTAACTTACCTAACACCACATAAGACTCCTGTTGTAATAAATTTAAAACTCTAATAAAAGACACAGAAAATGATCAGCATAAATGGCAAGACAGTCCCTGTTCTAAAAGAACAGCTAAGGCTGGGCATGTTGGCTCACACCTGTAATCCCAGCACTTCGGGAGGCCAAGGCGGGCAGATCATGAGGTCAGGAGTTCCAGACCATCCTGGCTAACATAGTGAAACCCTGTCTCTACTAAAAATACAAAAAATTAGCCTAGCATGGTGGCAGTTGCCTGTAATCCCAGCTACTTGGGAGGCTAAGGCAGGAGAATCGTTTGAACCCAGGAGGTGGAGGTTGTGGTGAGCTGAGATTGCACCACTGCGTTCCAGCCTGGGCGACAGTGCAAGACTGGGTGACAGTGCAAGGCTCCATCTCAACAAAATAAAAATTATCAAGTATATTAAAAGAACACTTAATTCCCAAAATTAATCTATAAATTCATTTTCAAGTTAGAATTTTTAAGAAACTTGATAAACTTAATTCTGAAACTGAAATACAAAAACAAAGGTCTATGAAGAGTTCAGTCTTTGAAAAAGTACAGCAAAGAAGGACCACTTGTCCTAGCAGATATTAAGACACATGTGAAAGCCATAATAATAAAAACAGTGTGGTATCACAAGGACAGATAGTGGAAAGTGACACTGGAAAAGAATACAGAGCTTGAGATTGTTCCATGTGTTGCACAAACTTGATGTAAATAAAGAAGCCACCACAATCAGTGGGTAAAAGAAGGACTGTTGAGAAGATGGTGCTGAGAAAACTGGCTCACTGTAAGAAATAAGAAAACCAAAACTGGATTCCCTGGTAATAGCTCTTGAAGACATAAAGGTAAGACAAAACTGTAAAATTAATAAATCATGTGACATGGGGGAGGAAAGGACTCCTTAAAACCTCAAAACACAAACTAAAGCATAAACTGATTAACCTGATTATGCCCAAATAGAGGAGTTTTGGCCTGGGAGCACAGTTAACAGACAGATGACGGATTGGGAGGAAATATTTGCAATATCTAAAATGAATACAAGGCTTTTATTAGAAATATGCAAGAAACTCCAGGAAATCAACAAGAAAAAAAAAGGTAATAGGCAAAGGATAGAGACAAGCAATTTACTAGAAGATGAAACTCAAGAAGCCAACAACCTATTGAGACATGCTCAAATTCATTAGTAATGAGAAAAATGAAAATTAAATCAAGAAGTCATTTTTCAATCTATTAGGCTGGCAAAAAACGTAAAAGCAGGATCACACCAAGGGTTGTCAGCGAGGTCCGTGGCAACCTATATACCTTCATGCACTGTTGAAGTAGGAGTTTGGAGAACTAACCAAATTAGAATACAGATAGTAGATAAAAGTACAGTATTAATGTAAACCCTTGACGTTGTTAAGTGTGCTGTGGTTTTGGGAGAGAATATTCTCAGAAAATACGTACCAAAGTTACCCTCCACTGATTCTGAAAAAATTATATGTATATGTGTGGGTTCCTTGTAATACTTGTATTTTTGCAGCGTTTTGTAAGTTTAAAATTATTTCCATATTTTAAAATGTCTAAATGAGGCAGAATTAAAAGAGAAGAGAACAGGAAGAGATACAGAGAACATACCATTTATGTAAATTAAAAATGCATGCACACGAAACAGCAATATGTATTTTTACAAGAGCACACACAAACAGAAAGATCCCCAAGAAAGGATAAGCGGATAGAGAAGGGGAATGGACAGAAGCAAGGATAAGTAACTTAATCAATCGGTCATCTAATCTATAATGAATCAGGGCAGAGTTCTAGCAGGACCTATGAGAATGGAGGTCCATGAACTGAAGAACAGGAGCAATCCAACGCTCCATGCCTAACTAAGGTGTAGGGAAAAAGACAGGAAACCCCAGAAGAGCTGGGCTCTGCTGACACTGCCACAGGGCCCAGGAAGCTCTTCTGCAACTGAATGGCTTAGAGCTCAAAAGATTCTGTGTGGAAAAGGATGTGAGATGAGTCCTGGGCTGAATTCAAAGAGGCTCAGCATTCCTATGGGATGCCTGGATCCTCTTTCCTCTAGACTGTTAGGTCTGTATGTTCTGGTAGCTGCAGGCTGTTCTTTAGAAAACAGACCCCTGAGACCCAAAGCCTGTTTCCTACAGACCCAGAACCACTGTCTATGTGATCCCTTCAGAACACACCCTCCCGGGAGCTTCAGCTTTTCCTGCAGCAGGGTCTCACCCTACCTACCTGGACTGGTGGTGTCCTCTTTATAACCTGGAGGAGAAAAGAGGAACAGATATGAAGCAAGTGTTCATGACAGGATGACAGCAAAGAGCCACATTTTTAAATTAGTTCACTCATTCATTCACCTAATAGGTCCTAATCTCCTACTCTGTTCCCAGCCTGGAGCCAGAGGCTGGGGAGACAGAGGTGTGTCAAATAGAGCCTACTCTCAAGGAATACAGTGTCCAACAGGGCAGACAGAGGTAAATACACAACCGCCTGCATGTGATCAGTGCAGGGACTGAGCCGCAGGCATCAGGGGAGCCCAGAAGAAGTGGTGGACAGAAAAGAACCACCTCAGTGGGAGGAGGGCTTACTGTGCCAGGTGTTAAAGATGAGAGGGTAAAACAGAAATGAAAACTGATCATCACATTCCTGGTAGAAGAAACATTGTGGTGTATGCCAGAGACTCCAGAGGATGAGGGGCAAGGCCTGTGAGGGCAAGAGATGAGCCAGGGGAGGAGAGTCAGGCCTCAGTCACGAAGGCCTCGAAAACTGAGCCAAGAAGCTGGGGTGAGACCTTCCGGGTAAAGGGAGATCAACAGAGGTAAGACTGAGCCAGGCGTGTATTGTGAAGGCAGCATAGATATTAGACAGGAAGATGACAAGACGGAGGGCACGGGGATCCCACCAGAGGCTCTGCAGAGCCAGTGCAAGAAATGAGGAGGTCTGAATGAGGAAGCGGCTGTGAGAACAGATATGGCGAGCTGTGTGTTGGACTTAGGATCACACCAGTTTCTGGTTTTGGAGAACAGTAGCTGCCATCCACTGAGTTAGGAAACAATGAGAGAAGTCAGTTGGTAGGAATATGAAGGCCTCAGCTTTGACTCCAAGGGGTTGAGACGTTTCTAGGTCTTTCAGGTAGAGATATTCAGGAGGCAGCTGCACATCCAGACACATTTTATGAGACACCATCACATAAACGGCAGCTCGAGTGAGTTCACCCAGGGAGCAGTTAACAGACAAGGAGCAGGAAACACAGAGAGCAGCTTAGGGGACACCAACACGTCAGGGATGAGCAGAGCAGGGTGGCCTTGGGCAGACACAGAGGAGAGAGGGAGTGATCCTTGAGGTACAGGAGACTCAGGACCCACAGAAAATGAAAGAGGAGGGAGTGGTAACAAGGCCAGGGACCACCAGGGTGGAGACATCCCTGGGAGGAGCTAAGGGTTAAGTGGGGAGCTAGGAGGCACTGGCAGGAAGCATGGAGTGAAGACATCTGGGGAGTCTGGCCATGAAGGGGCAAGAGATGGGGGAGGAAAATCAGCAAGGCAGAAACGAGAGGATACCTATGAGAGAGGATGATGGACGCAGTGTGGCACAGGGAGCCCGCACTGCACCGGAAGCAGGCATCTCTGACTCCTAAAGAAGCAGGTGAGGGTGGTGTTGAGCAGTCCAGTTTGGAAGGACCCCTGCGGGTTGGGGATTCGGTTCAGGAAGAAAGCACCCGAAGCCTATGTTTTCTGAGGGAATAATGGGCTGCTAAGGAAGGAAAGCTGGGTTGGAACAGAGGAACTGGGAAGAAGGCGAATTTTAGAATATTCCTGTAAGTGGATGGGGACCAAGAATTTTCCTGGGCCAAAAAGCATGTCCAAGTGGGGTCTCCAGGGGGACTCAGCTCCGTGGGAAGATCAGAGCCGAGGGTGGAGGGGGAGCCTGTGAGAGGCCTGAGGATGCTCTGGAGAGAGTGGCTTGGGTGGTGGGGACATTAGCCATGCTGTCCAGACTGGCAGCGAAGGAAGCAGCTGCCAGTGGAGGAGGGAAGGCAGGGGTTCCCCACTCCGCTGGTCCAGAGGGCTCTAGGACAGGCGTGGCCTGACGCAGGAGGCCAGAGCGGGCAGAAGTAAGATCCCGGAATCGCCCTGGCGAGGTCCTGGGAGCGAGCGGTAGAGAAGAGCTGACCGAGGGGTGGGTTGGCCGCAAAAGTCCTCCACCGAGGAGTAGGCAGCCACACCCCCGGGCCAGTCCCTGGCCTCCAAGGCCAGGCACGGAGCCGGAGCCGGAGGCAGAGCAGCGCTGGGGGCGGGGAGGGGGAAGGTAGAGCTGGGAGGAGCGCCCACCTCACCCGAGCTCAGCGGCAGCAGGAGAAGCAGCAGCAGCAGCAGGACGCCGCGGCTCAGGACCGAGGGCCTGGAGGCTCCAGGCCCCGCACCGAGGCTGGACCAAGAGACGGCCATGAGGCTGGGGAGGTGCCACCTGGCGACTGCGGAGACCGTTCCCAGAGCCCAGCACGTGCCTGGCGTCCGCACACGTAACCGCACTCTAGCACGTGATGGCTCCGGGAATTCCTGACCGCTCCGCTGCAAGACTGGCCCATTTCCCGCACCTCCACCTCCTGCCTGTTCCTGAGGACGACCTGGGAGCCCTGGGTCTGGGATTGCTCCCAGGGTGGCGGGCCCCCTGGGAAAGCAACTCCCAGGGTTTTAAGTTGGTGTCCCAGTGAAGGTGCACCGAATTCCTGGGCTACTGATGGCACCTTGTTGCCCAGCCTCTGACTATACCCTTGGTCCCCTGGGCCCGGTGCATTGGAGAGTTTCACAATTACTCTTAGTTTGAGAATCTGGAAAGCTGGAGAAAGCACAAAAAAGGAAAAGAATGGTAAGGCTAGGGAATCAGAGAAGACGTCTTTGAGAAAGTAGTAAGTGAGCTGGACCTACCACTTCTGTAAAACAAGGACTCTTGGAGGAGACCAGAGAAAGGAAAGGCATGTGTCCTCTTCTGAAGACAACCAGTAAGATCGTGGCAGCTAAAGGGAATGGTGGCTTATACCAGGCCTTGCACTTCCATAAGGATTTTTTTTTTCCAGAAGGATGCCATCTTTGCATCTGCTAGGCATGGCAGAGATTGGGAGGTGATCAGCTGGACTTGGAGCCACATTCCTTCCCCAGCCTGGCATCTAAGTGGGCCCACATGAATAGAGTGATGTGTGCCACTTCCATGCCAAGGCAGTCAATAGGTTAATCCAGAGCATTGCTTCTCAAAGTGAGGTCTTCAGACAAGCTAGGAACTTAGAAATGTAAAGGTCTTTAGGTCTTTCAGGTAAATGTACATTCTTTTTAGAAACATACATTCTTTTAGGCCTTTCTACCTGAAAGACAGAGAATGTAGGCCCCGTCTCAGACCTATAGAATTGAAAACTCCAGGGGTGTCCGGGCATGGTGGCTCACACTTGTAATCCTAGCACTTTGGGAGGCCAAGGTGGGCAGATCACAATGTCAAGAGATCAATACTATCCTGGCCAACATGGTGAAACCCTGTCTCTAATAAAAAACACAAAAATTAGCTGGGCATGGTGGCGCATGCCTGTAGTCCCAGCTACTCGGGAGGCTGAGGCAGGAGAATTGCTTGAACCTAGGAGGTGGAGGTTGCAATGAGCCAAGATTGTGCTACTGCACACCAGCCTGGGCGACAGAGTGAGACTCCGTCTCAATAAATGAATGAATGAATGAAAATAAAAATAAAGAAAACTCCAGGGGTGGAACTAGGAACCAGTAATCTGTAAGTTTTGTTTAAGAGATGAGGTCTCCTCCTGTCCCCCAGGCTGGAGTGCAGTGGAATGATCATATAACACTGCAGCCTCAAACTCCTGGGCTCAAGACATCCTCCTGCCTCAGCCTGCAGAGTGGCTGGGATTACGGGCACAGGCCACTATGCCCAGCTATTTTTTTTAAGAGCTCAAGCTCCTGGCCTCAAGGAATCCTCCTGCCTGTCTTCCAGGTAGCCGGGATTATAGGCATGAGCCACTGTGCAGGCCAGTAATCTGTATTTTCACAAGCCTTAGGGGATTCTGATGCAGGTAAAGCATGCACTACAGGACTAAAAGCAAGCCACGAGATGGAGAAAGCTACCTGCTGATCAAGAACACCAGAATGGGATGTTCTAGGAAAAGAAGGTTAAATTTGTTTTATTTATAAATAAATCAGTGGTTTCTTAAAGCAAGTAGTACTATATTCATTAAGAGACTTGTTTGATTTAAGCTCTCAGCCTCTCAGCCTCAACCTTCCTCAGACAATAGAAGGGACTGATTCAGACTGAAGCCCACCCATACCTGGGGGTTAAACATTCAACCCTAGAAGGGCAAAGGGCAAGAGGTTGGGAGGGAGTTGATCAGCAGCTAGACAGACTCCAGGACACCAGACTTTGTAATGAGGGGAGAGAACCTATGTACAGTACAGTGAATCTCTCTTGCCCTTCTCCCGGTGGGAACGCATGTCTTTGGTAACCAAGTGGGAGGGAGCAGCAAGGAGAAGCAGTAGAGGAAGAGCAATACTTCTCACACCCCAACTTCACTCTTGGGCCCAGTTCCAGTCTCTTGATCCCCTATCTCTAGCTGTAAAGGCTGTTAAACTCAACTACAGAGCTCCCTGCAGTGATGCTGATGGCTATAAGACCCACTGGCTAAAACCATCCTTAGAGCTCATGTCTGAGGAATCAGGGCCTGCCTCAACTGTCCTTCTATGTTTTAATAGCTTCCTTCCTTCTACCATAAATAGCTTCCTTAGTTAAATGGGAAGCCAGTGCTCTACAGGTATGTTATATGCCACCAAACTCCCCAGGTGAGCAGAGCTTCAGTAACAGGAGACTCTCCAAACATTTATTCAGTTGATTTCTGAAAACTCCACACTCCATAACTGCCTCAACACAACTTGTGGTGTCCCTGAAAGCGGCCACTAGGGCACTGAGGAAGGGGATGCCAAGAATGGGTTGCCCCAAGAGAGCTGGTGTGGCAGAGGCTAACCACTCACAGATGAACCCACACTGGGCTTCAGGGGAACTTCTCCCAGGCCCAGACAACTGAGCCAGAGTGGAAGTCCCAGGCCTCACACCTCTGCAGGGACCTGGAAATGCCTCCTTCACTCTCTCTGAACAAACACCCAGCTGGCTGGTTTCACAAAGTCTCAGGTGAGACCCCTAAAACCAGAACCATGTCTAACGCTTGCTTCAAAGTTGATGATGTCTCTTCCTTGATAGACGTTCCCCCAGGTATTGAAGAGTCACCGTGGCCCCCTGGCAGGGCGGCTGGTCCTCTAGCTGGAATTGGTTCATCCCTCCTTCCCACCAGGCAGAGCACAGCCCTGGTGCAGGCACGGTGGAGGCAGGTGACCAGAGCACCAGGCAGGGATACTTTCCAGGCCCCCGTCTCCCCGCCATGCTCTATTGTATGGATCTCCAGAGGGCCCGTGGATTCCAACTGGGATTTGTGGAAAAGGCCTTGAGAAGGAGTGGGAGGTTGGTCAGAGGAGACACCTAAGTGTGAGACTCAGAAACAGCAGGAGAGCGGAATGGGGTCTGATCACGGGGTCACCAGAATGCCCAGGGGCATCACCAGACACAGGAATAGAGTGAGAAAGTTTGCTGAATCCAGACAGGAATCTTGTTTCAGGTGATCAACAATCCATTGCTTGTAGAAACTAACTTCCGTGTAAACTCCAGGATATCCTTTGCGACCGCAGCCAACGCCCCAGCTCACAATCCCCACCTGGACCCATACACCCTTTAATTCACAGACCAGGGGTCCCCCAGAATCTCCCTGGAAAAAGAAAGACAATCACTGTAGGAAACAAATAGCCTCCACGTCAGAGCAGGCTGATTGCACTGCAATGCGCTGCAGAGCTAGGCACTCAGGGGGCTTCCCCGGGAACCCCGAAGACCCTCCTAGCCTTAGGTATCTGTCAGTATGAGAGCTGAGAATTGACGATTTCCAATAAAGCAAAATCATGCACCTACTGAAAAGCCATGTTCCAAAAAACTTAATACACATGATGAAATCATTCCTACTCTGAGACAATAATGGGTCTAGTGCTTACCTGAGTAATAATACTGCCTGTCACACAGAAGGAGCCCACACGGAGCACGCATTGTTGGTGGGACCTGCCTGATTCACCCCTCCTCCCACTCCAGGCTGTGTTAGCTGCTCTCTCCTGAAGGATCAGGAAGGCTGCCCAGGAGAGCCTTGGTGGCTTGTCCTCACGTCCCATTACATGAGTGAGGGTAAACCGAGGGGCTAGGAGATAACCCAGGCCCTACTGGCTGCGGATGAGGAAGCTTTGAGGAGACAACTGCAGTGCTGAGGCAGCAAGAGGCCCATGAACTGACCTGACAGGCATCCTTCCCTTGGTCACTGTAGCCACAGACAGTCCCCTCCTTGACCGTTTCACTCTCGTGTCCCAACTTCTTGAGCACCTCTCTACATTTCTCATGACGAATAATGCTTAGCTCAGCCTCCTGAAGAACGACTGTCCCTGTTCCTGAAGTTGCAAAGAGACAATTTACAAGAGAACAGATCTTCACAAAGGGATAGGACAGGAGCTCCCAGTGCCCACTCTGAGTCCTGATCATCGTTAACACAACTGCCAAGTTCAAGGAAGTCAGGGCAGTGAATATTGTCCCCACTTGACAAGAAGGAAACTTGAGCCTAATGTTGACATGGAGCCTAATGTCCTCCCTTACCCACCCGCTAGAAAGCGGCCTCCCTGCCCCTCCCAGTAGCTTGCAGGCCAACCCCAGCCCACCAGGCAGTCCCACCTCAGCATCCCGCTTGACGATCTCACCATTCTCTGCTGTTTTCCCCCATCCGGTCACCCAGCACTCTGTCCCAGCTTTCACTTTGAAAAACTTTTTGGGGAGGCACACAGGCTGGATGTGTGAGGAATAATTCGCAGAGTAGGCGAGCAGAACAACAGCAATGTCGTTTATCAAAGTGGTAGCATCAAAATTGCTGGGAAAAATGATGTCTTGAACCGGGATCACCGGTGCCGTTTTGGAATCAGCAAGCCAGTGGGCATCTCCCAGCTTCACCTTGTATTCCACATTGGTGCTGAGAGAAAAGACGGACTTCACAGAGATCCTGGGGGGTCTATGCTCTCTCCTTCCACACCTTGCAGGTGCTTCCCAGCCTGGTCCCACCTTCCTATGACAGCCAGCAGCCACCTCCCTCCCTCAAACCATATCCACCCAGGACCTCTGACCCCTTTAGCCTGTGGTCCCCAGACCAGCGGCTGCAGTGGCAGCACCTGCAAACTTGTTAGAAATGCAAATCCTCAGGTCTCACCCAGACTGGATAAAAACTATGGGGCTGTCACCCCCTTTTACAGAAGCTCAGGGAGGGGGGACAGACTGGCTCCAGGTCCCACAGCCTTATCAGGGCCCAAACTCAGTCCCAAACACTCACCCATGAATGCAGTGGGCGGCCGTGAGCACCCAGCGCCTGCCGATCAGGGAGCCTCCGCAGATGTGTCCGTCGCTGGTCTGCAGGCTTGCCTGCCAGGGCCACTTCTTTTCTGGGGCCGGTAATCCCCCAACTATCCTCGAAATCCGACGGCGGCAGGCTGGTGGGCTCAGTAAAGAGGGGACTGGAAGTGAAGCCGCTGCCTCCCCACCACCCCCACCCCGCGGCCCAGGGCGGAGGCGAGTTATCCGTCTCTCTCAAATCCTCTAGGGCAGGGTCTGCGCCTCGCCGCGCCCCCACTCCGAGCCAGGCTGCGTACGTTTGACACCCCCCAACCCCCGCCCTCCCCAGCAGGCCAGCACAGATCTCGCACCAGAAACAAGATCCTGAGGCAGCCGCCTTCCAAGGTCAGAGATCCCGTCGGATTCTGAGGCGCCTCCCACTGCAGATGCTGAAGTCACCCGGGATCCTGGAGGCCCTGCGGGCGCTGGAGACCCTGGAGCTACAGAGGTTTCTGGAATCTTCGGGAATTTCAGGTGCATGGGAGGCGTCCGGGCCTCTGGGCTTGCCGGGGTCACTCTGGAAGCCTCCTCGGGTCGGTATGGCTCACCTGGTGAAGACGGGGACCCGACGACAGGAGCTGGCCCGGGTGCCTCCTCCTCATCCGCCCGTTCCCACAGCACCCCCACTGCCACCCCACACCCAGCGTGGGCCCAGCCCAGTGCCCACTCCCGGCCTCACTGAGCAGGGGCTGAAGGAGCTGAAGCCAGACCACGAGGTGGAGGCTCAGGCGGGTGCCTCCACGGCCCCTGCGGAGGCCGCCTTGGGACGCCATGAGCAAAGTCAGCACGCATCGTGGCGCCCCCTCGCGGCGGCTCCGGCCCTGGTCCTGGTGTTGGCGGGAACCGGGTGTGCCCGCGGAGATCTCAGGCGGCTCTCGCGAGCCCCGGTCACAGCAAAAACTAATCCGGGTAGTGCTGTGAAGGAAGCGGCGTTCAATGGGTAATTCGTCCTGTGGACCTTAAGATAGAGATTTTCCTGGATTATCTGGTTGAGTGTAATCTTTTTTTTTTTTTTGGAGATGGAGTCTCTCTCTTGTCACACAGGCTGGAGTACAGTGGCGTGATCTCTGCTCACGGCAACCTCCGCCTCCTGGGTTCAGGCGATTGTCCTGCCTCAGCCTCCTGAGTAGCTGGGATCACAGGCACGTGCCACTACGCCCGGCTAATTTTTGTATTTTTAGTAGAGACGGGGTTTCACCATATTGGCCGGGCTGGTCTCAAACGCCTGACCTCAGGTGATCCACCCACCTCGGCATCCCAGATTGCTAGGAGTTTAGGTGTGAGCCACTGCGCCTGGCCCAAGTTGAGTGAAATCGAATCACTGCATACTCTTCAAAGCAGCAGGAAATACAGTCTACCCACTGGAAACAGGAAGAGCCTGCTGGCCTGCAGGGGTCCCAGCTACTCCGAAGGCTGCGGCAGAAGAATCGTCCAGCCTGGACAATATGTTGAAATGCCATCTCTTTAAAACAAAACAAAAAAGTGTGATAATAGAAAAAATACAAGATGGCTATGATCAGTCCTAATGCAATAGCAAATGGGTTGAAAAAAAAATAAACGAAAGAATTTATCTTTTTTATTTTCCTTTTTTTTTTTGTAATTAAAGATGGGGTTTCACCATGTTGGCCAGGCTGGTCTTGAACTCCTGACCTCAGGTGATCCACCCACCTCGGCCTCCCAAATTGCTAGGATTACAGGCGTGAGCCACCGCGCCCGGTGAAAAAATTTGTAATTAGAGAAAAAAAGATATCCAGAAATATACTATGTGAAGAGACAAATTTAAAACAAAAAGATACAGATAAATTGGAAAGGGGGGATAGAATAAAAGATACAGATAAATTGGAAAGAGGGGATTGGAAAGGGGGAATAGAAAGGGAGGGATAGAAATATCAAGCAAATCTGAAACACAAAGTAAGTGGTATAGCAATTGTCTTTTTAGATCATAGTATTTAAGGCAAGATCATGATAAAGGGACAAAGGAATCTTATTATATAAAGTAAAAATAAGAAATGATCAAGAAGATGCAGTGAAAAGCCTGTGATACACAAAGAAACAGGTTACCAATTAACGGGAGACTGGAGTTTTTGATATGTTCCCCTTAAGAAACTGCTGGATTACACAGACGAAATTAAGCAAAGATATAGAAGATTTAACTATCACAATTAATAATCTCCACCTTAGCTATATAAATTTTACAACTCCCAACAGAGAACACTTGCTCAATGACCACAAAGGGAACATTCAGAAACAATGCCACAGAGAACAATAAACTCCAGGGAATCATTGGTCTCTGGACTCTGTTCTTGAGTCACAAGTCAATAATATTAAAATCAATTTTTAACATATCAAAAAAATCCCCTCTTTCTGAAACAAAAACAAAACCTTTCTAAGTGATTATCCTATAAAAAGAAAATCATGCAGGAAATAATCATTGGCAGTCATTTAGAGGTGACTGCCAATGAAAGCACTACATATCAAAGCATCCAGTCCCTGAAAGTAATTTACAGCTTTGACAAGATCAGAAAAGAAATACTGGTACTAAATGAGCTAAACATTCAACTTAGAAACTGAAAAGGATCAACGGAGTAAACTCAAAGAAAGAATTTGTGACAAGGGAGAAAACAATGAAAAAAGGAGACAGAAATCAATAAAGTAGCCCAGCACAGCGTCTCAGGCCTGTAATCCCAACACTTTGGGAGGCTGAGGTGGGAGAATCACTTGAGCCCAGGAGGTCAAGACTAGCCTGGCAACATAGTGAGACCTTGTGTCTACTAAAATAAAGAAACTAGCAGGTGTGGTGCGTGCACCTACAGTCCCAGCTACTTGAGAGGATGAGGCAGGAGAATCGTTTGTGCCCAGGAGTTCAAGGGTAAAGTGAGCCATGATCAGGCCGCTGCACCTCAGCCTGGGTGATAGAGGGACACCCTCTCTCTTAAAAAAAAAAAAAAAAAAAAGGAAATCAATAAAATAGAGAAAAAATTATGGAGAGGATTAGCACAATCAGAATTTTGTTCTTTGAAAAGCCTAATAAAATAGACAACATTCTAGTAAGACTAAGATAAAGAAAAAAAGCAAAATACAGAATGAAAAAGGGAAAGCAACTTAAAGAGATATTTTTAAATTATCTATGATAGATATTTTTCACTATAAAAGAATGTTGGCTGGGCACTATGGCTCATGCCTATAATCCCAACACTTTGGGAGGCTAAGGCAGGAGGAGTGCTTGAGCCCAGGAGTTTGAGACCAGCCTAGGCAACATGGTGAGACCCTGTCTCTGAATCAAATCAAATCAAATAAATTAGCTGAGCATGGTAGTGCGTGCCTGTAGTCCTAGCTACTCAAGAAGCTGGGGCAAGAGGATCACTTGAGCCTAAGAAGTTGAGGTTACAGTAAGCTATGATTGCACCATTGCCCTCTAGCCTGGGTGACAGAGGAAGACCTTGTTTCGAATAATAATAATAAATAAAGAATGTTATTAAATGCTGACTTCTCCTTCTGGCCATGGAATATAAAAAGATTGACCTTCCCACCTGAAACAACCAAAAATGGACAAAAATCTAAAACAATCGTTTTTAAAATATTGAACACTAACAAAAAAAAAAAAAATAGAATCCCTGTAGATGGGGAGCAAATGGAGTAGGCCCTATGATTGCCTCAGGTTTATGACTTGAGAGAATTTCCAGGCCACAGTACAGAGAAGGAGAACCAAGGTGGAATCCAGCAGGCCCCCAGGAGGTGAGCAGGTATCGCCATGAGGCCAGGAACACAGAGGCAGCTGTGTTGATAGAATACTGTGGTGGAGAGAGCTGCACAAAGAAAGAAGGTAAAAATCTGCAGAGGCTCCCTGCTGTGGTTTGGATGTTTGTCCCCTCCACATCTCACGTTGAAATTTGATCCCCAGTGTTGGGGAAGCAGGGCCTAATGAGATGTGTCAGGGTCATAGGGGTGGATCACTCATAAATAATTAATGCCCTTCCTGGAAGAAGAGTGAGTGAGTTCTCACTATATTCGTTGCCAAGAGAGCCGGTTGTTAAAAGAGCCTGGCACACCCACATCTCCTCTTTTGCTTCCTCTCTTGCCATGTGATCTCTACATACCAGCTCCACCTTGCCTTCTGCCATGAGAGGAAGACGCCTGAGGCTCTCATCAGAAGCAGATGCTGGCACCATACTTTCTTATAGCCTAGAGAACCATGAGCCAAATAAACCTCTTTTCTTTATAAATTACCCAGCCTCAGGTATTCCTTTATAGCAACACAAATACTCCCCCTCGAGTATTAAACTGAGTATTGACGAGTGCACGTCTGTGAAGAAACTACCTGAAGCTAGAGAAATAACCACTGCAAAGAATCAGAAATAACAATGCCTGCTGCTCATACAGGGCCAAGAAGAGAGCCTGCTTCCATTAGTCAGACAAAAAAAAAAAACTCAAGATTCACAGAACACCAGGTAGGGAATCCAGGCAGGCAGGAAGGTCTTGCCCCAGCAATGCAGAACAATTAGGCCTAGACTGAGAATTGTCCTGCTTAAAAAGTCTTAAAAGCAAGATCTGAAAAGAACAAACAGTTTCTAAGTAATTTAAATGCATCCCCAAAGCAAAGCTCAAGAATATTTATGAGAATATGAAAATATCAAACAGCCAACAAGGTAAAAGTCATAATGTCCAGTATCCAATCAAGGAATACTCAACATGCAAGAAGCATGAAAATACAACGGATAATGAGGGGAATAATCAATTAATCTTATCCTCTCAGAACTGACACAGATGTTAAATGAACAGGCAAGGGCATTAAAACAGTCATTTTAACTTTAAGTTATACATATACATATATATTCAGAAAGTTCAGGAGAGCTATTTAAGATGAAAAAAGACCCAAATCAAACTTCTAAAACCAAAACTGCCATGTATGTTAGAAATACACTGATGGGATTAGTAAAATATTAAACTTTGTGGAATAAAAGATTAGTAAATTTGAAAACCTAACAATTAAAAAACAATTTAGAATGAAACACAAAGAAAAGAGAGTGTGAAAAAAAAAAAAAAAACCAGAGACCATCAGTGAGCTGTGTCCTAATGTGTGAGCAACCGGAGTCTTCAAAGGAGACTTGCAGGGTGGGAGGACAAAAATATTTAAAGAAATAATGGTCAAACTTTTTGATAAAAACTATAACCCCACAAATCTA